GGATTCTATTTCCTATGTCTGGGAGCAGCACACAACTTCACAGTCCCTTTCCTAAACTCACATTTGACCATTAATTATTACCTGTGTGACCTTGGACAAGTCACTTAACCTCTCTGAGCCTTGGCACATTCCTCTGTAAAAAGTGAAGATAGCAGGATTCAGAGTCCAGTATTTGAATGACTAGTGATAACTTTCTTACTCTAGAAATGAACTCATTCAAGACCCATCTAATAGCCCTGGGAAGGTGGGGGCAACCCCAGGCCTCTTTCTGGCCTTGGTAGGGACAAGGGTGAGCGCACCTCACTCAGCCAATTTCTCCCTTCTTGGTGGTCACTCCTCCAGGCCACCGATGTCCAATCTCACTCAAGTTCTGTGGTCCACCCCCCCCCCCAATCACATGGTGATGCCTAGGTCAAGTTACCTGCCAGGGCTCTGTCCATGCCTCTGCTAGGGCTCTGTCCTTCTGTCCCAACACTACCTCCTCCCCATGCAGAAAACTCACCCATCACCTTACACTAGCAATGGCCATTTCGTGAGCCCTAATCCCTCACTGCACACTGAGACATACTCTTTCCTCACATCTTGTCACGTGACACTGGATGGGGCAGGTCATACTAACCCATTTTACTGGTGAGAAGACTGAGCCACAGGTTTCCGTTTCTGTGAGGATAAGTAGCCTGCTAAGGTCATGGCAGAGCCAGGATTTGAACCTTCTGGTCTGTGCTTAGAATCACTATACTAAAATGGCTTCCCCACAAGCCCCCTTTTTCCTCAACGGGGCATCCCTTCCACTCTATCTACCTTGGGGAGCTGAGTTACCCCAACACTCAGGGAGCCCTTTTCCTGGTGGCTCTGGGTGGAGGGTTTACCCAAGCCCATTGACAGATGACTGTGCCGGCTGGGGAGAGTTGATCTTCACTTAGAATGGAAGTTCCCCACTATTTCCCCATTTTTCAGATGAGGGGACTGAGGCCCAGCATTTACTGCCTTGAGCTGTCTCAGGTGGTAAGCGGCAGAGTTGGGCTTGGAAGCTAGACTTGAGCTGGTCCCATGCACCCTGCTGCTTGCCAAGTGCCTGTCACCCAGATCACTCTGTGGCTACTCAAGCTAGCTGTTTATAGCTGAGCCTGTGGCCTGACTTTTGGGGGGTACCTGGCACCTCTGTCAAGGTCTCCTTCTCTGAGAACACCCTGCCAGGGTTCAGTACCAACTGTACCCTAAGAATGTCCCCTATCTAGAAGGGAAGGGCAGTACCCAACAGGGCGAGGCAGGGCGTTCTGGTGCCTCAGAAGGCAGTGGTCAGAAATCCAGGACAATAAAAGGCTCACAGATTCTTTGTCCTGGGGAGATAAGCAAGTTCAAAGCTCGGAGCACCCTGGGATCCGTGCCACACGTGCTTGTAAATTCCACCTACTACCGCCTTTGAGAATTCTCAGGAAGAGAAAAAGGGTGTGTGGGGTGGGTGGGTCCCCCAAATTCCATGTACATGAGCTGGTGCCCGTGGGCTTGGGGACCCAGACAAAGCCCATCACAAAGCGGATCCTTTGTTGGACACAATCCTTCCCGCCATGTATGTGAACAGCATCCTTAGGACAAAGCCAGAGGGAAACTGAATCCAGACTGGCCTGGAACCCTTCCCCCCTCCAGTGTGACATTTATGAGAAGAAAGAAAAAACATAAATGAAATATACTGCTGGGAAGGAGTTTTCATGAGTGAAACACGGACTACAAAACCCCTTCCCCTCTGAGCCTTCTATTCACCCCTGCCCCTGGAACTGAGGTGAAAGGGCACTCAGGTGTTGACCTTGACTCCCCATTTTCCAATACAGACTTGAGAAGGATAGAGAACTCATTCTGTCTCTAACCTTTATTCTGCTGATTTTTAAGGCTGAGCAATTTTCAATGGAAATTAAATCCCTATGCACCCAACTGATTTTACACCAAACTCATCAAAATGTGACTTTCAAGATGCCTTTGAAGTCTTAAAACTAGACATGCAGAAATCACTGGAAGCACAGACAATACATTGTCTCTTTCGTGGCAGCCTCCTGCCCTGGGCAGGGGAGGCCTGAGTAAGCAGAGTGGACACCTGGGCTGCACAGGGCAGGTCAGGCCTCTTCTGCTTAATAAACTCCACAGGTCCAGTACTTCCAAACTCCAGTGGCCACCTGAAGAGTCACAGCCCTGTCAGCTCCTGCCAGGAAAAGGGCAAAGTCAACCAGTGAAAGTCAGAAAGAACCTGGCACCAGGTCTATCAGGGTCAAGTTTCAAAGTTTCAAGGTGTTTGCAAAACAACAGCTGGTTTCCATAGTAACCAAGCCCAGGTGCAAATAAAAGCTGCCCTCCGGTTCCAGCCACTGACCAGCAGTATCCACCCTGAGATGATGTCTCTGATGTCAGTGCTGGCTTTTAGGAAGGAGATGCCCTGAGGGTGACACCATTATCAGCAACATGCAGGGGCCACCTTGTGCCTGCTAACAAGCAAGCAGGGCCCAGATTACATCTCCAGCAGGTGTTGGTCCCAGGAGCCATTAGAGTGCCTGGCAGGATTTCATCCAATCCTTATCACCACCCAGAGGGTGGAAGGCTCAAAGAGCTGAGGTGGCTTCCCCAAGGCCACACAGCCAGTGAGTGGTGGACCCAGTGTTTAAACTCTGTGATATCAATGCCAAAATCCACAGTTAACATACAAATGCCGCCTCCCCCAACAAACCCAGTCCTGGTTTGAAGGTGGTGAAATCAATGGCTGGACCCTTGCTCCTGTGGCAAAGCCAGCATCATGCTATGCAGAGCTGGCTCCCCACAGGCCACCTGGGCAGAAGCCCAGGACAGTCCTTCAAGGTGCAGACCACAGATAAGGGGGCTCCTGCCTCCACCTGCCTCCTCCCACCTCTGAGGTAAACAAATCACTAATCTGATCCATAGCCAGGTGTCACAAGAAATACAAAAAGGATGCAGTCTCTTTGCCTGCCTTTTCTTTCCACCCCCTACCACACACTAGAGGGCCAGGGGCTCAGCAGAGACTTCCTGTCACCATGGCCCCTGCCAGGGGCTTCACAGGGCTCCCGCAACCCTATCCTTCTCTGCTCCTGCTACCTTGGTGGTGGGACCAGGGGTAGAGCTCCTGCTCTGGGGTCAAAAAGCTGAGACCTTGGGTCTGTCCCCAAGTGGGCGCTGGGCCTCCAAACATGGGGTAAAACTGCACCCAGTTTTGTCACCCATATAATGGTGTCACATGATTACTGTGAGAATTAGGAGGATATCAGAAATTCTTCCCAGCAGAAAGGAGATGCAGAGAGAGAGCATGAGGCCAGAACAACAGATACCAGCACCAAATGCCAACTCTGCTTATCTAAGGAGGTGTGAGGGCCTGTGAAAGGTTACTGTTTGAAAATGAGACTTCCCAATGTAATCAGGAAAAAGGCTTGCTTGTTCTCTTTCTTGAAAGCTACAGCTTTGCTGGGCATGGTTGTATACACCTGTAATCTCAGCACTTGGAAGGTCGAGGGTGGAGAATAGCAAATTTGAGGCCCATCTAAGCTACATAGTGACACCCTTCCTGAAAAGAAAAGAAGTCACAGCCTTCACCTGGGAGGGCCTCATATATGGAAGTCCCTAAGAAAGAGTGTTGGTGTCAGGGCCCATGCACTTCTTCTTAGGGTGCCCGTGCCTCTCAGGCTGGCCCTATCTGGCCACTTGACCCCTCAGGAGAAGATGGAGGTTCCCCTGCCAAAAGAGGATAGACTCCTTGTCCAAGCTGCTCATCTGTGTCTTTTCAGTCGGAGGCTGGGAGAGCTGGTCCCAAACCATTTATTCCAGAGACACCACCCAAGAACTTTGAGAAGCAGACATTTTATTTAATAAGTTACAAGATACAATTTACAGTCGGCATTTGATTCCAGTTGGCTTGTGTATCCCAGATCATGGTGCCTGCAGTCCCTTAACTTTGGGCTTCAGCTTCTCCGGTTGCTAACAAGTGGCTTGTACCACCAACACCTGCCCCAGCCACCGTGCCTCAGTACAGGGCACTTATCTCACCCCTGCCACACCCAGGATGACAGCGGCTACTTCCTCAGGACTAAGCAGCAAGTCAGAAAGTCTGCCCACCAGATCACACTATGCCTCTGGGCTCCACCATGAGACAATGCCCTTGATTGCTTCAAAGTCAGCTCAGGTCTGCAGAAGCCATACAAAACACCCCACACCCGATTTCTGGAATTCCCGGCTGCCTATTGCTTCCCCAACAGCCACAGATGACACGTGGTGGTGGCCAAGGCCAAATAAATACATGGTCACGGTCAGCTACGTAGCTGTTGCTGTTTCTGCCCAGTGGTAAAGAGACCAAAATTGAGCCAAGCCCCGCCCTAGCAATTCCCCAAATTGCAAGTCAAATAGCAACAGTTTCTTTCCTTTCTGTCCATACTTACAATTATTTTCTAGAAAGAGCCAGCTAACCATGAGGCTGGCTGGGATGTGTATGTTATGACACATGACAGGCCTCCATGATGAGGGCACTGAACGCAGACCCACCTGAGGTCTCTTTAAAAGCTTTGGTAAGACAGGCTAGTGATGGTTAGAAGGGATCGAGGGCAAATGGGGTGCTGCTCATCCCTTGTATGATGTCCTGACCAAGTGACTGAAATGGCCTCAGAAGACAAAGGTGGACACATGACCGACAAGATGATCATACTGTCACTCTGCAAGGAAATAATCACCAGGAACAGAACAGAGTCACTGGGAAGTCATTTGCCACAGTTCACTCTGCCCTTGGGGAGACAACAGAAGGCCACACAGCATGACAGACTGGTAAGGAGTAGTGTCAAAACCATGGTAGGCTGATTCTGTAGCCTCTGCTTACAGAATCAGGGCCTAGATGGAGCTGGTTTTAAGCCATTGTTGCTGAATGAGAACCTAAACTAGGTTTCCTCTTTTTTCTTGTCCCTTTCCCAGTCTTGTTTCATAAATGTTTAAGAGTGGACCAGTAGCTTAGGCTAGCCAGCTTTTTTTTTTTTTTTTTTTTAAACAACAGTCTTGTTCACGCTCTTGATCTGTCTGCAGTGACGTGCCACCAAGAGTTCTGATTTGAATGAGTACACTCTGCATCTCCTCAGCCCACTGGATAAGTGTGCATTTCTTAGGGCTTCCCAAGGTGGCCCTTCAGAATCAAATCTAGAACTTATTCTGAAGGCACTTTGGCAATGTTTTGGGATGGAGTTTCAGACCCACCAACAGGCCAAGGACATTGTAGAACACGAATTTATAAACAAGCAACAAAAGCAACGACAAGAACTCCTGCCAGGATTTGACAAAAACTGTTTAAGGCACCGTGACATGAAAGGGGCTGCCTGGGATGTGTTCCTCCCCCCACTTCACGGCCAGAGCGTAATCTCCTCTCTCCTTGACGACATATGTGACATTATATTGTTGGTTGCCCATGTGCTTCATGGAGACCTCTTCGCAAGGGGTGGTGGGCCCGTGGACCCCGATCAGCAGCATATTGGAACCTGGAGGGAGAAAAAGTGTTACTCCATTTGGATGTATCAGAGGAAGAGGAAGAGGAGGACTGTGGGAGCCAGAGGGAAAGACCAGGGACTGCCTATTGGGCTTCTCTGATGAGGCTGGGATCCCTGACAGGTGGCAGAGTATGGTGATTACCACCAGGGACTATGAGGCTGAGGTGCAGACTCAGTCTCTGCCCTGCCACTTCCTGTCTGGATGACCTTGGACATGGACCTCTACCCATCTGTCTGCTTCATGAGCTTGTGTGACCCACCAAGTTAGGCCCTTAGCCACAGTAAGCCCTATATAAGTGTTGGCTGTTAGGATCTTCCTGTGCATTCTCACAAGAACCTTAAGGAAGGTAGTGTTACGATTCTCATTTAGGAGAAGAGGAAACTTAAGGATATTTAGCAACTTGCCTGCAGCCAATGGTGAACAAGCTTAGTGAACGAATGAGTGAGTGAGTGAATGAATGAACAAAGCAGAGCTGGGTTCCCAGCTGAAGTGTGCTGAATGCCAGAGCCACAGGCAAATGACTATTGCCACCTAAATGTATACCCAAGTTCAAATCTCAATTAGTGGCAGAGAAGGTAACCAATTCTCTAATGGGGACACCACCTTTTCTACCTACCTCAAAGTCATGGCGAAAGAATCCAGAGGCAAGAGAGAAGAAAATCACTTAAAAATATTAAGTGGCAAACAGGACAAGAAACATGGTTACTTGCAAGTGGCTGGGTCATGTAGTGGGAGGACACTACAGAAGGCCTCTGCACCGGGTGTGGGGGGGTGGTAAAAGTGGACGAAGGCCCCAGCCTCCCCAACCCCCAGGCCCACACCACCCCAGTGGGCTCGTGCTGCCTACCAGCTTTGCTGCAGTCTACCAGGAAGGAGCTCTTCTGGCCCACAAAGGCCTTTGAGAGCCCTGCCCCCTTGGAGGTCACTTTGCTGGCGTCCGAGGATGATTTGGGGATGGCACTGTAGCAGGTCTCGGTTGAGGACCTGGTCACTGACTCCACCAGAATGGATGAGGTCTCATTAGCTGAGCCTGGGCTGACCAGACGCTGGCCTACAACATGGAAGGGAGGGAAACAGGTATGAATTGCCAGAGGACAGGTGAATGTCCCATGCAAAAGCCCCCATACCCCAACACCTGGGTAAGAAGGCCACTACATTCATATCTCACACCCATGTCTTTATTTAGTTTTCCTTATAGTGCTAGGGATGGAACCCAGGGCCTTGCATAGGCTAGGCAAGTGCCCTGCCACTGAGCTATATCCCTAGTCCTTGGTTTTTTAAGACAAGAGTTTTACTATGTAACTCAGATTAGCCTTAAACTTAATATGTAGCCCAGGATGGACTCAAACACTGGATCCTCCTGCCTCTACCTCCCACATGCTAGGATTACGGTATGTGCCACTATGTCCAGATTACACATAATGTCTTATAACCCCCCTGGGGTCCTTCCATAACTGGGATCTGGCTTCCTGGGCCAATGGACCAGTGTGGCCCTGGTTGGCAAGGTCTAGAAATTCCTCCCACATAAGGACACACCACCCTGTAGAAGTCACATCTTTTCATTTATATAAAATACTCCATGAGCAGTGCAAACAATTGGGAAGATACATAACAAAATTTAAAAACTTGATTCTATAAATAAGAGGATGATTCTTCTGAATATTCTAATTTTTCTATAAGGAGTGGAAGGGATTTAGTGCAAGCGTGGATGGTGGGCTGTGAAGTTCTTTTTATTGCTTGGCATTTTTCCAGTGTTTTGAAGGGGGCATGTTTTTACAAATTTAATAGAACTTTTGGATTTTTTCAAAAGTGAAGGTTAGAAATGAAGGGATTTTTCAGGCCCTGATTAAAAAAAAAATACATAAGATCTCAAATTGTAAAACATTTCTTCTTTTCTGCCAGAAATAGAACACCGCCTACGTCCTCTTCAACTCATACACTCCCCACACCCCCCCACCATGGAGATTTGTTTTGCAAGTTCGTACGCACTGGCTTCTGGCATACCATTTCTTTACATTCTTTACAGTCCAGTAGATTCAACATATCAGAAATCAGCTGTACTTTCTGCTATTGCTAATTTGACAAGATTAGCTTCAGAGGCTGGAGGAATAACTTCAAAGGTGACTCATTATTACCTGTCACCTTGGCCTTGAAGGGACTGCCCATGATGTGGTTGGGCCCGCCATATTTGACACCAATCAGGTAGTTTCCAGGGGCCATGGGTGTGTACATCACTTTGTACCCTTCTGGGGTTTCCTGGCAATCCATTTTGACCTTGGAAGGCCCTTCAATGGTGACAGATAATGTCCCTGGGCCTGCCCGGGTGGTGTTGATGAAGAATTCAGACTGGATGCCTGGGAGGGAAGAGATGGAATATGCACATGGATGTTCATCAAGGGATAAAAGGGTGTGGCCTGGGGGGCTGTCCCTGGGGAGTTGAAGCAGTTGGGGGAGGGGGGGTGACACAAGCTACCTCACAGAGGGCTTTGCCTTGGTGACATGGGAACCGACTAGTCTTAGCTCTGAGCTCCTGGCACAGAGAACCCTGGGCTCCCTTACCCAGGCTAGGGCAGGAGTGTCACTGACATTTCGCCCACAAACACTGGCTGACTGAACACCCTGTTCTCCTTTCTGGGCATGAGCCATGCTGAGCGCGAAGACCCTGAATCATCACTGTGAACCCAAAGTGCTACTTCAGCCACCAGGGCCCAGCTTTGTCTCCAGGGGACAGGGGAGGCGTGGGTGCCTATGAACTTTTTCTTTTCCTCTGAGTACACTTGGAGAAATTGGGAAGGTCTAGTATTTCCTTCTTTCCTCCTCAGGATCCCCACCCCTGACATCATGCTGAAGCCTGGGCTAGGTGCTACCAGCCCACCCACTGTGCCACGGACACCAGCAACAAGAGCAGGAACGAAACAGCAGCTCCTGCTGCCTGAGCACCGTGTGCCCTACATGGGCTGCATCCTCCCCTTACATTTAACTGCCTGGCATTCTTCCCCAGTGATTCCCAAGGCAAAGGGAGGGTCAGCCACTTGCCAGTCATGGCTTATCATCAAAAAGTGGTGAGCTGCACTTGAACCAGTGGTGTCTGGCCTAGCTCTACCACTGGACAAACAGTAGGGTCCCTTCAGCTGCCCTAACTGCAGCCCCAAGACCCCTGACCTCAGACATCCTGCCTTGTGGACAGAAGGCCAAAAGAGAGCACCAGTTGATGACCGTGGAGGCACTCCCTCAGTCCCCCTTCTAGTCCACAGGGGGACAAGGTGGTCAGTGGGGCTACTGGAAACAGGAAACCAGCTGCACGTCCTCTACAGGGTCCTCTAGGGGGCATCCCTGGCACAGCATCCCCACACAAAGCCAAGCCTCTGCTAGAGCCAGAGACGCCAACCCAGCTGGACATATTTTGGTTTAATTATAGCTCCTGGGCTAGTGAAAGAATTATTGTTCTGCTTATCAATAAAACAAAGGCGCTGCTCTTGTGCGACCCCCCAAACACAACCCAGCTGTTTCTGGGTTGAGATTCTTTGAGGCTCTGTACCAAAGTCCCCCTACTATCTTGACCTTGTCACAGCTTCTAATCTGGGCAGCAGAGAAGCCCCTCCTGCAGCAGCTGCCAAGGCTGGGGGCTGTGTGAGGATGGGGGCGGGATGGAGGCAGGGGTGGAGGGTGGCAGGAGTAGGGTGTCCAGGAAGTGGCTGTAAGGCAGTGATAAGGGAAGATATTTTTAAAGTGAGGTTGAAAAGACCTGGCTACAGTGGGGAGAAACTCCACCCTCCTTAACAAGTGATTTTTTCATTCCTGAGGAAAAAAAAAAGTTTGTTTTGACTGTGAGAGCCTGAAAAGGCAGAGAAGATGAGGTACAAAAAGGGAAATTAGGAATTCTGGGACAAGAGCTACCTAGCTGTTACCTCCTTTAATGCTCCAAGCAAGACTATTAGGCCAATTTATTATTCCCACCTTACAAAAAAGGAAGTAGAGACACGGAGACAACTCATCCAGAGCCACCCAGCTGAAGATGAGCAGAAGAGGGACCCAGACGTCAGAGTCCAACTCAGAGCTAAGACACTTGCCTGGGAGAAGACAGGAGAGAGAAACCCACCACCAACTGCAACTATCACCAGGATGATAGCATGGCCCACCCCTGGCATGGTGGTCCTCTCCTACCCCGACCCCCAGGCTGCTCCAAAGTCAGGAAATCTCCAGACTAACTCTCCCCCTTCACTACCCCCCAGCAAAGTCCTGCCCCAATTCTCCACATTCCCTGCTCCTAGATCTGCAGAATGGACCATTTAACGTTTCAGCCAAGAGATACAGTAAAGCCACTCAAAAAAAACCACAGGGATGTTTGCTTTGTTCCGAAGGTCAGGATGCCGAGCCCTTTGGAGGCCGAGCAGATCCCTTTTCCTCCATTCACTGCAGCTGTGTAATCTCTGGATGGATATTTGGGAAAAGGCTTGGGAGAGGGAGGGCTAGAAAAACAAGGCGCCTTGCCTCTGACAAGAGCAATATTTACACAGGGTTGAAACAGCAGCTCCGGGCCGCTCCTCCTGGCTGGGAGCCTCCCGGCAAGGGCAAGGCCGGCTCCCTCTCGGTAGTGGCAGCAGCTGTGCTTGCAGAGCAGAATCTGAAACCTGACCTCCCGAGAAGGTGTGCACACTGCCAAGTGTAAGCAGGAGGGCTGCGCTAGCACCAGCAGGCCCGCAGGGGTCAGATGGCTCTGGCCAGCACGGAAGACCCAGAGACAGCTATGGGGACGAGACCAAGGACAGCTGGTCTGCCAGGAGGGCCCCCACTGAACTCTCAATGGTGGATGGCTAGCTAAGGGCCACATGCCTGTGTTGCAGCCTGGAAACCGCTGTGTACAGCTGGGGGCTAGGGGGTGGAAAGGGACACCAGAGGCCTTGGGTTAGGACACCCCGCAAAGTGGGCTAGGGTACAGAAGGTGCCTGTAGGTGAGTGGCCACTCAGGTAGGGGGAGAAACTCAGTGGTTAAGGTCCCAGACCTGGACTGACTCCTGGCTCTGTTTCCTCTCAGTTGAGTGAGTCTGAGGAGTGACTGGCCGCTCTGTGCCTCACTTTCCCTCTCTGTACAATGGGCATCACCTAAGGCCCTCCACAAAGGGCAAGCTGGCCTAGAGCACAGGGGGAGCCAGTATGGATGCGCTGGGGAGTCTGGCAGTATTGACACCACTCCTGGAGCCAACACTCTGGCCAGATTCCCCAGCAACATGTAAGCATTGTCAGTCACTCCTGAACTGGGACAGGGTCTCTTGCCACTAGGACACTCACTCTCCAGGGCTGGATGCCAGGTAACCATAGCCACTCATCCCCTCACACATGTGGAGGACAGTCTGCTCCGTCCCACTCAATGAAGAGCGTGGGGAAGGACAGGGGGATGCAGAAGGGGGTACACACAGAAGGGACTTGAAAATACAGCACCTTCCAAAGAGAGTCCCAAGTAACACAAATGCAAGCCATGTCCCACTAAGACTACTTTGAGGACTTCCCCTGTAGAAATGTGTTAAGAGGACAAGCTCCTCCCACCCAGCATCCTCTACAACTGTGACACACTGGACACTAGCCGATGTCCATCTCTAGCTGATCATGCCAACAGTTTTTGGTTCACAGTACAAATACCAATCAGAGCCCCTCAAGAGGGCTTTGATATGGGAAGACCTTTAAGACATCAAGTGACAAAAGCAAGCTGTGCCCTGTCAGTGAAGTAAAACGACTTCTGTAAAATCAGAGCCTTCTGTGTAACTGCCTGTCAGTGAAGCAGCAGCTGACCGACCTGGCCACCCAGAGTGAAGACAGATGAGACTCAGGCAAGTGACCTGCTAGACTAAGGAAGGAGCAAAGCAAGGCAATGGAATGGGCTTTATTTATTTCTGCTTCTCTGTCTCTCTTCCCAGTCAGACAGGTTCCATCTGTGGCAATGATTAAAACCAAGTTCTTCTCCTCCGTGGGGGCCAGAGAACACAAGGAGGAGGGGACAGTTGGCAACGGGTCTCCTGTGCAGCTTCGATGCTTTTCTGGGAGCCCAGGGATCACTAAGGAATGGATGGAGAGGAAGTTCCTAGGAGGCCACCCAGATGTATCATGAATGCCAGGCAGGCAAAGAAAACCCTCAGAACTAAGGCCACTGGGCTGTGTTCCTGATTATCAGCATCCTGCCTCTAGGGCCGAGGAACTTGGTGAAGGAAGACATCAAGGACACAACAAACAGTACCAAGATGTGATAACCCAGCCATCAAGCCCTCACTCTGGATTTATCTGGGGTTAGTATACGTCTCCCAACACAACTGTGGAGAGCAGGGCCCTCCCAAGTGTGTGCTGCTCTGGTTTCCTGTGGAGCGTCCCGGGAAGGCCTCCATGGGGCCTGAACAGGTAAACCTGGCTTTGTCCCGAGCTGGCTCAGGTGGAGGCAAAGTGTAGTGCTGAGTTACCTGTGGTGCCGCCCTCGAGCCCCGAGCCATAGGCGGACACCAGGGCAGGATTCCCAGCTTGCCCGGGCTCCCCGACGCGCACTTTGAAGGGGCTTCCCACCACGTGGCTCCCATTGAACTTGACATCAATCGTGTGGATGCCGTTCTCGTGAGGGATGAAGCGAACAGCATACTTATCTAGGAGAACAAGCAGAGGCACAGGCTGAAACGGGGCAAATGGACATTCTAGAGTTAAGTGAGGACATGAGACTGTAGGCCAAGCTGAGCTGTCATCATTCCAAATCTGCTTCTCACCGTCGCCCCGTTCAGAACACCGCCCTTATGAAAATCTCACTTTGCACATTTCCCTATTTGGGCACTTGAAGGAGGAAAAAAAATGGTTCCAAGAGGCATTAGTGTCCTTTAATTATGCTCAAAGTGTCCCACAGGGCAACAGCCAGGTTTTTACATGTTTTGGATCACAGCACGTGACAAGCTAATCTAAAACTGGAAGTAGGCACCGAGGCTATCCATGACCATCCGTGACCATCCCCAGCCCGGGAGGCAGAGCACTGCGTTCCTCCTCCCTGCCAGTGAATATCCTCACTCATAGGACCCTTTATCTCCTTCAGAACTTGTGTCCTCAAAGCTCAACTCAAACCCTCTCCTTCCCCTCTGCTTCTCTCTACGGAGGCAAACACCCACACAGAGCCGGAGGCAAACACCCGCACAGAGCCGCCAGCCCATATCCTTCAGTGCTGCACTTCTCCCAGCAGCTCCAGTCCCTCATTAGATGGGGAAAATTCTCCAAGCCTAAATCAATCAGCACATGGAATGGGTGTGTCTCAAATCATCAAGATGAGAAGAGAGGCTTGCTGGGGACATCTAGAAACAATGCCTCTAAAGACTTCTGAGAAAAAAATCTCAGAAGAGAATGGCTTTTTTTTTTTCTTTTATTCATATGTGCATACAATGTTTGGGTCATTTCTCCCTGCCTCCCCCTGCTCCCTTCCTTACCCCACCCCCAGCCCCGCTCCTTCCCTTACCCCCCCAACCCTTTGCTACCAGGCAGAAACTATTTTGCCCTTATCTCTAATTTTGTTGAAGAGAGAGTATAGCAATAATAGGAAGGAACAAGGGTTTTTGCTGGTTGAGATAAGGACAGCTATACAGGGAGTTGACACGCATTGCTTTCCTGTGCATGTGTTACCTTCTAAATTAATTCTTCTTGATCTAACCTTTTCTCTAGTTCCTGGTCCCCTTCTCCTATTGGCCTCTGTTGCTTTAAAGTATCTGCTTTAGTTTCTCTGCATTGAGGGCAACAAATGCTAGCTAATTTTTTAGGTGTCTTACCTATCCTCATACCTCTCTTGTGTGCTCTCGCTTTATCATGTGACCCAAGTCCAACCACATTGCTATATTTGCCATAGATCTAAAGTCTGCATATGAGGGAGAACATACGATTTTTAGTCTTTCGGGCCAGGCTAACCTCACTAAGAATGATGTTCTCCACTTCCATCCATTTACTTTTGAAGGATAAGATTTCATTCTTTTTCATGGCTGCATAAAATTGCACTGTGTATAAATACCACATTTTCTTAATCCATTCGTCAGTGCTGGGGCATCTTGGCTGTTTCCATAACTTGCCTAGTGTGAATAGTGCTGCAATAAACATGGATGTGCAGGTGCCTCTGGAGTAACCTGAGTCACAGTCTTTTGGGTAAATCCCCAAGAGTGGTATTGCTGGATCATAAGGTAGATCTATGTTTAGATTGAGAATGGCTCTTGATTGGTGTGGTGTGAAGATAGAAAATCAGGTGCTGGGACTGGAGGTGTGGCTCAAGTGGTAGAGTGCCTGCTTTGCAAGTGTGAAGCCCTGAGTTCAAACCCCAGCCCCACCAAAAAAAAAAGGAGAAAATCAGGTGCTGCTGCAGCCATCTTGCCACCAAGAAGGCCAGCCTCAGAATGAGGCTCATGAAGCAGAAGAAAGACTAAAGGTCTTCTAGGCCTTGGAGAACACAGGTGAGTAACTGAATCAAATCACTGTTGAACTCATCTTAGAGCCTATGTGAATTACTGACCTCTTTATCATATGAGTTGGATGAAGTTGGGTATTTTGCAATTTGCAACCAATAGTTTCCTGTGGCACACTGGCACAAGGGCTTCAAATACTGCCTGAGGCCCAGGATACCAAACTTCACTAGCTGCTTAGCCCAAGGCCACGGTGACCTAATAAACATTACCGCTTGAATATCTGGGAGATACTTCAAAAGCCCCCCAAATAAATAGTAGACTCTTTAAGGTCCTTACCAGCCCTGACCCACCCTCTAGCCTGCAGTCCTGGTTCTGTTAGCTGTCATTATGATCTTCTCACGCACTCACCCAGCTGCATGTCATGATTTCTGAAATTGTGCTCAATCCCTAGGTTAAGTGGTGGCCAAGTGTTGAGTTGTACGGTTTCAAGCCCCCTCTCCACCTCCAGGGCTAAATCAGCACGCTTTCTCAAATGAAACACTGCCTGTCAGATATTCTAACACAAACCTCAAACCCACGATCCTCCTAGCTCAGCCTCCCCAGTGCTGGGATTGTAGCAGGAGCTACCCGGCTCAGTTCTGTGAGGGCAGGAATCATGCACTCCCCAGCCTCACCTTCCTACCAAGTGTTTGGCACATAATGAATGTTCAATGGCAAAATGATTTCATTAAAGTTAACTGATATCAGAGAATTCCTTATTCCGAAGCACTGTGCAAGGAAAGTGCAGGGTATTAAGCCCTAGAAGCCTGTATTATTCTTTTAGAATTTGCAAGTGAATATTGATCTGCTTCTCAGAGTTAAGTGAGATCAAAATAAATTTACTCATGCCATAGTCAATAATATGACTCTAAGATTTTGCTAAAATGTGAGAGAAAAATCATGATGTTATGTAAAAGAAACCTCAAAAACTAAATAAAGCAGAATTTGTTTAAAAAGGAGGAGGAGGAGGAAGAGACAGGGCATTATATGTCAAAGCAAAGCGTCTCCATGTCCCTGGCAAATGTTTCTATCCTAATTTATAAGCAAGGTCTGGCAGCAGCAAAGAGAACTCAGGCTTGCTGGCAGTAATGAGGCCAATGAGTCCTCCCCTGGGAGGCACAGCCAGGAGCACTGGTGCTGGGACCTCCATGCCAGACCCCCCTCTGCTTACCTGGCTCCAGCTCAGACACGTGACATTCCTCCACGGCTCCTGAGGGGCTGTGCACCTTTGCATCAATCTTGCCTTTTGCACCATTCAACCTTATAGCAAAGGATGCTGGCTGGTTAACTTTTAGTCCCGATTCCTAAGAATACATTAGACAGGTTATGGTGCTTGACGTTCCTGCTCACTGGAACACACTGACCTGACCCGGGACACCAGGTGACAGTGTTCATGCAAAGAGGCCTGGAATATTTTTCTATATAGCATCCGACAACAGAAGAGTGAGGGTCATGCTCCATGTTTGTGACATAAAATGTAAGGGAATGCAGACACATCTGCACAGTTATGTACTCAAAACATCTTGGTTCAGGATGGAAGAGCTAATCCCGAGGTTGGAGACTTGAGTCATCACAGGCAACAGGGTTATGAGCTGAGTGTCCGAACAAGATCTGTGCAGGCCAGAAAACCCAGTATTTTCCCAGGAGAAAAAATAAGGACCCCTTTCTAGGAGAAGCCTGGCTGCAGACCATACCAAGTGCTCACTAACAAACCAAGCTTTATATCATCACTCTTTTAATCTCAAGGACAAGAAAGGACAGAACTTTTAATAAAATTATGAAGGGCTGTACACGCAAGGTAGGTCAGACTTGGTTTACTACCATTTCCTAGCAATAAAACTAAGCTATTAAATCTCCACCAGTCTGTTTCCTCATCAGTAAAATGGACATAAGTGAATCTCTCGTAGAGAGCTGCTGTGAGGACCAAATGAAATTCTGCATGTAAAACACTTGGCATATGGCCTGGCCCATACACAGAAAGGCTCAGAGACGTCAGCCTGTGGTTAAATATTAAAATGCTTTTAGCAGCGTCCTGTACTTCCCAAAAGCAATGGGGAAAAGTGGAGCTTCTGCTTCCCTGGTCAGTTTAACTCCCTGTCCTTTGTTTTGGAGTGTGCATGTTCTCAGAGGAGGAGATAAAAACCGTACGTACTTAAGAACAAAGACAAGCAGCGACAGTTCGGAGCTGTGAAGACTGACAATCCTGAGCTGTGAAGTTCTGAGTCAGCAGTGCGGGGTAGAACCTGGCAGGCAGGCATTCCTCATGTGCTACCTCCAAGGTGGTGGTGCTCACCCCTCACATCCCGTCTAGGAAGCTTGTTACGATGCAGGGTCTGATTCAGTGGGTCTGGGATTTTATACTTCTAGAAATCCCCAGGTGGCACTGAGCATGCTGGTCTATGACCGTACCTTACTAGTATGGCCCTAATGCTGTGTTAACCAATTGGGTGTCACTAGCCCTATGGGAAGATATATAAATTTAAAGCACTTAAAATTAAATAAAATGAAAAACTCAGTTCCTCTAGCCACATTTCAAGTGTTTATTAGCCACGTGCGGCTAGTGACTACTGTATTGCACTGTGACAATGCAGAATGTTCTATTGAGCTACCTAGAGGTGGGTTATAGCCTGGGAGGGAGGACATAGAACAAACTTAAGGGTTCTTTGATCACCAGCTCCTCCCTCTCCCATTCCACCCTCTCCCTTCCAAGGTGCCAGCCAACTCCAATTTTCTACAAAGTTTTGAAAGCAAGACAAAACAATACAGGCCTCTCTGGCCTAACTGGCACCAGATGTTGCCTGTTCAGGGCTCTGACTAGGCTCTGATAAATAATTTACATGTCTCTTGGCAACAAAAGACCCAAGAAGCAGTACAGGGATGGTTGGGGTTGGGGGGAAGGAGGAGATGCAGCTGGTTATAAAAGCATGACACACAGCCCACTGCACATTTATTGAAATATTTATGACTGAACCATGATGTGAAGACTACAGAAAAGCTATCTGCAGATGCGCTCTCCAAACCAGATCTGTTTGGACAGAATCACTTACATTACCTGAATCCACTTTGCCACTAAATCCTCAAGAGGGAGATAAATACCTCGGAAGATCTGAAAGAAATCTTCAAGACTCATGAGGGCAGCTCTGTGCCCTCCACAAATGCTGGGTTTATCTCCCTCCATAGGTTTTAGTTAAGTCGGCCAGGAAAGAAACTTCTGTTAGAAAGCCTTTAAATGAAACACAAGAAAAACATCTACACCACAGTGACCAGTGGTACCCTTGGTGCTGTCCAGATAAGGCCTGTTCAATCTGTGGACTGGGATTCTGGTTTGGGTTCTGTCTGGGTCCCTAACTTCAAAAACTAAGGTTTGGAATAACTAGCAGCACCCCAGTTCCCCCAGGGAGACTGAATCTCCAATGTGAACCAGACATATAGAACTAGATGCTGTGTCACCAATCTGAGAGTCCAGATTGGATTCTAAGCCACTATTTTCAAGAGTTGGGGGCAGCTGAAGGCTATTTAGAAAGCCCCTCAACTAGAAATCATATTTTGGGATTCTGGTATTATTCTATAACTTACGTGCTTCTTCTGATTCAAACACATTATTTTTCACTTTTCTGAGCAAAAGGATGCAGGGGTACCCATGGTGGCTGAGGTGCTAATGCAACCTTGACCTGGGGTAGTAGTGGGGGTTACATCTGCTGGTATCCCAGGAAGCTAGAATATACAGCCATTTGCTACAATGCTGGGGAAACTGAGGCAGCTACAATAAACAGCACAGGCTCTGAAGCCACAGAGACCTCACTCTGTCACCTCATGCTAGCTAGTTCCCAGTTGGCATAACCTCCCCACACCAACTTTACAACGGTCAAGAGAGCCCACTCACCAGGCTGCTGCACCTTACTGCAGTAACCCTGGGACCATTGTCAGCACAGTTCCTGGTACCTTTACCATAAGTCATCCTATTAAAATCAATTGCAATTGACTTCCTTGCAGAAAAGGAAGCCAACAGCAGCAGGCTAAACTGTCAGTTTTGTCTGTTCTATTTTGAAAGCCCTCCCTATCCCTTAACCAATGATTAACAGGCTTCCATTGTTTCATTCGAATAAATATTTAAAAGCAAACTTGGCCCCAAATGGAGAGGTGCTGCTGACTGAGTCTGTTTGCACTTGCCCCAACTGTCTTCTGCCCTGAGGGTGTGGGGAGGTGACCCTACCACTGGAATGTTACCAAGCGGCTGGGGACACCTGTAGTCAAAATGTGAACAAAACCTGAGCACCCAGGGGGATTGAAGTGGCCTCAGGAGTTCAAGGGTCTCACTGGTCAAGCCTGTGGCCAACGAGATGGATGCTTCCTTGCGTCTCACCTGAAGGCTCATAACAGTGAGGCGACGAGCATCGTCGGAGGGCGCAATGATGGGCACCAGGTAGGGGCTTTCAGGGATGTGCTCATCGTTGAACTTGATGGACACCTCGTAGTTACCTGTTGGAACAAGAAAGCCCCATCATTTCAGAGATTCTGGAAAGGTGCTTCCGGAGAGGCCTCTTGATTCTTAGCTAGGGCTGAAGTATATTCAAAGACCAGTCCTTCTCAAAAGCCACAGCTGATGGGTTGAAAGAGGGTTACCTGGCCAAGACTGAGCTAATATGATTTTCTTAGTTATTCTAGGCCAGGGATTCTTAACCTGGGTCAGCATGGTCCCTAAAGGGTCTGAGTGTAGAATCCAGGCAATCCATCGATTTAATTAGGAAAAAAGGCCTATCTTCATTTTAACTAACTTCAACTTAAATTTAGAATTTAATTTAATTTTTCTAAAGAAAGGTCAACAGGAAATCACAGCACAGGAAAAGTATTTGTGACTTTTTATCACCTTTATTGGTATGCTAGGCAGGGGCTCTACCACTTGAGCCACACTCTTCCAACTCTCTTTTTTGTGTTCAGTATTTTCAAAATAGGGTCTCATGAACTATTTGCCTAGGCAGGTCTTGAACTGCAATCCTCCTGATTTCTGCCTCCTGGGGAGCTAGGATTACAGGCGTGAGTCCTAAGCTACCAGCACCCAGCCCCCTTTTAAGTTTCACAGATGTTTTGACATTATCATTTATATTCCTTGCTACCTTAACATTAAGGTACACCAATACATCTTATGACTTAAGTTTTAATGAAGATATGCATATGTTGCATACTTAATAACTAGTGATAACTGCATTTTAACCTAACTGTATTTTAATATAATTTGGATTAACTATAACTGAATACAATTGATTTCTTTTATAATCTGATATATTTTATTTTGTATGTTACAAAACATTATCCTGAGAACACTTCAGATGCCCAAAGGATCCCTGGCACACAAAAGGTGAAAAATCGCTCCTCCAGGGAGCTCAGACGCTGAGGCCACTCTCCTGGGGCAGCCAATCCAGCCACAGCCATGTGTGGGCAGAGAGTATGGTTGATCAGTGGACAGAATGAAATAGTTGAAAGAAAGCAAGAAGCAGAGAGGCCAACCGAGAAAGACAAGAGATGATAAGAACAATCATTCTTGCCTGTTTGAGTCAGCTGTTTTATGCAATTGGGTTTCTAGAAGTCTCTTCCATGTGCCTCAACCCCCGCTAACACACAATGCTTTGATTGAGCTACCTTGATGGGTCAAGATTGTAACCTAACAATCTCTGAACAAGAGATATGTCCTTAGTTGACCCCTGAGTACATACCAGGTTCTTGGGCAATATAAGACACACCGCATGACCCGTTTTTATGGTCATCAAATGTAATCTCGGCCTTACTGGGACCCTCAACAGCAATGGAGAGGCCCCCAGCACCTGCTTCCCGGGTCCAGATGCTGAACTCAGCTGAGAGCAAAGAAACACCCGGTTAGTGAGCGAGCCCAGGAAAGCCCCTGCCCCTTTTCTTCCTTAAGCCTGCAGCGCTAGGGTCAGCCCCATGCGAGCACTTTCTTCCTCTAACCTAGGATTAGAGGAAGATCCAAGAAAGAGCCATCACTGCAGCTCCCTAAGCACCAAAACTGGTTACCACATTCATGGGAACCTGGCACCTTTTGAACACACCCAGACCAAGCAGAAAAAGATGAGAATGTTCAGGTTTTTTACCACAGACCTAAGCACCAGCACCCACCATGAGAAGGGACCCTTACAATGGGTTTTGCAGCATTCTAGTGTGTCCCACAGAACACTGGCCCTCAAGATGCTCTGGAAACAGCTTTTTCTCTGCTCCTCTCTTAGAGACTCAGATGTACACTAACTAGTTGCAGGCTCCAAGAACTCCCTAAGCCTGGTCGCTATGGGTAAGTGAGGACTCCCATGCTTAGCCACAGACACCATGAATTAGAAATGCCCTTACCACCACCCACCCTTTAGAAGTCTTCTGAGAGCAGGGAAATGGGGTGTGAGGGTACAAACTGTCAGATTCAACTCATTCTTCTATAGGGAAAACCCACACACAACACTCACCTGGAACTCCTGCTTCTCCTCTTTCCAGGCCGGGGCCTCCAGCCCGCACCTTGTGGGCACCCCCTTCGCCAAGTGGCCCCACAGTGAACTGGAAGGGACTGCCAGTTACATGCTGCCCACGGTACTTGACACTGACTGTGTGAACACCCATTTCCTGGGGCACAAACCGGACGCAATGGGAGTTCTTCCCCATAGGCACAATCTCTGCCTCAGTCACACGACCGGAGGGGCTGGTGACATGAGCTGACATGTCACTGCTGTCGATTTCTGAAAACGGGTGGGAGATTGGAAGAAAGGAGGGTTAGAACAAGGGCCTGAAGCAGAGCAGGACATGCAGGGCAAGCAGTGGAGGGAAAGGCACGTGCAGCCTGGTGGACATGGGGTGCTGAGGCTCCCACCCCTTGTAGCTGAGGCCAGGTTGGAAGGCCTCCTGCAGCCAGGGTGGAGGGGCAGGGCCCTTCAGGCCACCCAGTGCAGATAGCCTTCTAAGGGCACTGACACGTCTTGCTCCACTGAGTAGTCCTCCAGTCTTCCTGGCTGGGACCAATTTAATTCCATATGGCAGCTTCAAACTGGCAGTTACAACATGTAATAATAAAACCCACAGTAGCTCAGGTGTTCCCAGGACAAAGGTGACAAATGTGGCCATCTGTCATGCTTAGACAGGCTCTTTTCTATAGGTGCAAAAGGGTGGAAACCATGAGAGCCTCTTCCCTTGTTGTCAAGAAGCTCTGGCATTTCTTTCAGCCAAGACAAGAAGCATTTAGAGACAAAGGTGAGCGGGTGTCAGTCCCAATGACAAATGGGAAACCATGCGTGAGCAAAGCTTTCAGCAAACCAGAGACCAGAGATAACACTGTCAAAAAAGCAATGCCTGCAGTCACGAGTACCAGGATGCAGATCATGTCTACATCACCAGCTGCTTGCATCATGCTAACAACTGTGCCTATCAACGTAGAGGAGATAGGTGGGCAGCACACAGGCCATTGAGCACAGCCATCACCTAGACAGCTTGAATGAAACTGTACCCTGCATCTCTGCAGGGATCTGAGCTGAGCAGTTCATGACTGAGCCCTGAGGACAGAGAAAGGAAGGGAGGTTAAGAAGTCATACCATGCTATGGACCAAATGTTTGTGCCCCTCCAAAAGTCCTATGTTGAACACTAACCAACCCCCAGTGTGACAGTTCTAAGAGTGGGGTGTTTGGATGCTATCAGGATGAGATGAGGTCATGCAAGTGGGAAGCCCTTATGATGGGATTACTGCCCTTAGAAGAATCCAGAGAGCTTGCTTCTCTCTGCTGTTCACCATGCGGGCATACCAGAAGTCAGCCATCTGCAACCTGGAAGGGGGCCCTCACCAGAACCTGACCATGCTGGTCCTCCTCGGACTTCCAGTCTCCACAACTGTGAGAAATAAATGGCTGTTGGTTGTTGCCCAGTTTATGTTACTTTGTTATAGTGGCCCAAACTGACTAAGGCATGCCACACAGTCCTGGGTCCTAAGAACATCTGGGAGCTAATGAGCTCCTCCCTCTCCCCTTTTTAATGGATAAGGAGGATCAGGTGAGTAATATAGGGAAATGTATCTTCCCCAGAGTCATCTGCTACCAAATAACTCAAGAATAACAAAGTAGTCAAGAGCCAGAAGAGGCTTACGATAAAGGATAAGTGTCCACACTTATTCCTCAAGAAACAAAGAGAATGGAACAAACAATTGCAAAATGAGAAATGAAAACACAGTCCCCATCACTAGTAGTCCCACAAATGAAACTGAAAACTTAGAGATGGTATTTTCCATCAGATTAGTGCTCAGTGCTGGTGGGGAATGGGGGAGAAACAGGCACCAACATGTTTGTGAAACTAAGTCTACCAAGGCTTGGCCATGTCGGAAATGTTCCAGCCAGCAACACCCCTCCTGGCCATCTGTCCGTTCTCCACCTTGGGGTGATCTTGTCTCAGTCCTACAGTAATGAGGTTTTTACCACATTCGCTATGATTTCACGTTGCCATGCCTATGCAAGGTAGTGGGGGTGCACAACACACTAGGAAAGATAAGGGAGACATGATTCAGGATAATCAGCCCTCTGTCTGGGCGATGGTACATAAGCTTCATTTAAGACTAGGTTTGCCTTTTTGAAAGAATGTGTGCAACTCAGCTTGTGCCGGCGTGTGGGCAAAGGAGCCTCAAAACTTTCATGGACACAGTGAATTCTCTGAGGGAGGATGCTCCATGGGAAGAACCTGGATCATATTTCAGACAGGCTGGGTGGCCTGTTTACTGTTCGTGTGGCCCCGTGCGGAACAATTCATCACCGAAGGGCTCCACGTGGCCCACCCAGTTTTGCAGAAATGAGTGGAAATGTCAGAAGGCCACTGCTGAGCTGCTATCTCTTAAATACTTTCAGATACTGGCATTGGTAGAGCCAGGTCTCTCAATGACATTATTCCAACTGACAAGTAGCAACTCTTAAAGTATATCTATGTTTCACCCATGTGAAAGAAGAAAGCTATTTTCATTTAGAAGAAGAAAAAGGTAGCAGCTAAACAGATTTTTTTCATTTAAATGGACCTCTGTGAAAATAAACACTAAAGAAAATCTTAAGATGAGATGAAGAGGAAGGTCACCAGAGCTGACTTGGATAGCACACTCTGGAGCCATGCTGGATTTGGTTCCCCATGGTGCCCACTGCTCTTTCCTACCAAGTCCCCTGCACCCACCTGGGATTTTCAGGTTCAGGTCACAGATGCTCCCAACAGTGGCCACAGATGGGGCCCGGCTGGTCCGGGTGATGCTTTCCTTGACTCTTCCTTCCCCACTAATTTTCACGGTAAATGGGCTCCCTGTAAAACCAAGAAAGCCCCGTGAGCAGCCCAGAGGCCAAGGAATGGTGTTTACAGAAAACCCAAGTGTCACAGAAGGATGGCAGTAGGAAACACATACCAGGCACATGCTCGTCGGCAAACTTGGTGGAGACGATGTAAACCCCAGGCACGGTGGGAAAGTAGGAGACTTTGCAGGTGCCATCTTCCAGGTCCTCAGTCTGGATGTCCACCTTGCTGGGGCCTTCCACTGCTAAAGATATGCCACCGTAACCTGCAATACAGTAGCCCGGGCTGTCTTGACAGCAACTCTCTGGGATGGGGGAGCTCAAATGTAGAAGGGACATCAAGAAAATAGCCTAGTGGGAAGCTTGGACAGAGGAAGAGTTTAAAGGCTCTGAGAAGTCCTGTAGTGAATTAACCTGTCAAACATGGCTTTGACTAGAGAATTCTTGGATTTTGTTTGGCGGTACTGGGATTTGAACTCAGGGCTTTGTACTTACTAGCAGAGAGCTTTCCACAAGGGTATCTACTGATGTCTCATGGAGCATGTGTCATGTGCAATCACAAGCTTCAAGAACAATGCACAGCCTCAGGGGCTATCACCAGTCATGGACCTGAGAATGTGAATTCTTAAATAGCCTCCAGCCGCCTCAACTAGACTAGCAGAACGGAAGGAATCAACAGGATAAATCAGTAGGGAGAATCTGCCTATTGGGACCAGAAATTCTTCAGCCCTCTGCCACAGAATTCATCAGTGTGGCTATCACTCAAGAAGGTTCTGGGATGTGGGATAGCTGGGGAGAAGCCTAACCTCACTCAAATCATCTCAAAGCAGGACAGGAGGGGATGCCCCAACTCCCAGATAGCACTGCTCAGCTGAACAGAATCTGGGCCAGCTGGCCCAATATTCTTTGCTTAGGATGAGTCCAGGAGACCCAGGGAAGTTAAGAATAATGATGGCAGAATAGACAAGAGAACACAGTTTTTTCATTTATAAAACAAAAACCTACTCTTCCCAGGGTCATGAGGCTTAAATGATAATGCAGGTGGAATGACTACAGCTTGCAGGATGCACACAGAGAAAGGGGAGTCAGTAGAATGAAAAGATAAAGCAGTCTGAGCAATGAGAAACCAGTTCCCCAAGCATCAGACTTTTCCCCTTGAACCACCCACAGACCTGCATCCCTTGTGTCCACGATGAAGTCTGACATCTCAAAAGTGCGGCCTTCCGATAGGCCACGGCCGTAGACTTTGGCTCGGCGTGCGTCACCGATCTCAGACTGAACCACCATAATGGAAACAGGGCTGTTGGCTACATGGTTGCCATTCTTCTTGATGCTGACAAGGTGTTCACCCACCTCCCGGGGAATGAAGGAGATGCCTGGACCAGAACACAGATTGGGCTACATAAATGAGGGGGAAGAAAGTGATAAGAAAAAGTGGGAAGGGAGATGGCATAGTTCCAAAACTGAAATATGACTTCTTTCCTGACTTTCTGACAACGTGGTATACAAAGGTGTTACAATATCGAAATGGCAGAAGTATGCTTGGGCATTTATCATACGTGTGAACCACATCACACTCCAATGCACCACCAATTTTCTAGGAAAGGTCCCCAAGAGTCCCTGTCTCCCATCCATGCAGGCAGTCCAAGCTCACCAATGTGGTTGTTGGGCAATCGTTTCAGCAGACAGGGCTCATCACGTCCGGACGGGGCCTTGATGCTGGCGGTCAGCGTGCTGAGGTCAGTTTCACTGATGTCGAGCAGGAAGTCAGCAGCAGAACCCAGCTTCACCTGGGAGCAGCGTCTGTTGTCGTCTGGGAAACAATCCCCAACACAGTTCCTGTTACATGTGGTCATCCCAGCTCCTCAGAGTCCTTGATCCATCTGCCACTTACAGATGACTAGCCAAGAATCAATTCTTGGCAGAATGTGCCTTTGGCAATGAGCAGACCTGACCAGCAAAGAGTGCCTGATTCAAGGGAAGACTAGGAGCTACTAGCAACTAGAGATGTGAATTTTCAGGGACCACTTTGTTTTGTTTGGGAATTTTTTGAGATAGGGTTGCTCTATAGCCCAGGCTGGCCTCAAACTCTCAATCTTCATGCCTTAGTCTCCAGACTGCTGGGATTACAGGTATACTCACTATGCCTGACATGGACCACTTTTTAAAGGAATATTTGACAGTGGAAAGCACCTCCCAACTGCTGTCATGCCCTTGTCTTCCCATTCCACTCACTGCTGCTGGCTGCTTCAAACGAGCCCGTTGGAGCAAGAACTTGGCCTTTCACATCTTCCTTAGAAACCATCGAGACCATGATCCAAACCCAGCAGGCAGAACAGAGGCTAGGAGCATGGACTTGGGATGGGACAACTTGGCTCCACATCCCAGAATACCACCTGTGGACATGGCTAATTTATGACCTGGCCAAACCTCAGTTTTCTCACCTATAAAATGGAGAACAGAAAACCTGTCTAGTAGTGATGCTGACAGGCCTCTTTGAACTCATGTACTCAGGTAGTAAGTATTATTCGAATGCCTCTATCTGAGAGCTTGCTCTCCAAATGGTAGCTCTGTTTCCCCTGAGTAGTCAGCTAAGAGATGAAGGTTAGCCAGGGACTCATCCCCTGGTTCCTCCTCAAAGAATCTCTGAAACCTAAACCTAAATAGGTGACAGACACCTAGCCTGCCACACCTCCCACAAGGATGCCCAGGGGCAAAGCAGGCACCCCCCACCTGTGATCTTGGCTGTGAAGGGGCTGCCAGGAATGTGCTTGTCATTGTACTTGACCAGAATGCTGTAGTTGCCTGGCAGCGTGGGTAGGTAGGTCACTGTACACGTCCCATCTTTGTTGTCAATGCAGCTGATTTCCGCTTTTGAGGGCCCCTCAATAGCCAGGTCTAGACCACCTGTGAATGGGAGCAGAGAGAGAAGGCAGGGATAATAACTCATCCAGGGAAACTCCTGACACCAAGGACAACAGACTGACATACTCCATGAGAGTCTCAGGCAAGGACTTATGTCAGAGCAAAGCCATCTACAAGGTGAAAAGCCCATGAGGAAGACACCCCACTGTCTGACTTATTCCCCTCAAAGTAATCCTAACGCTTGAGGATGCAGGTGGGACGAGGAGGAGATGAGCCTTCCATGCACATCACACATCCAGGAGGGACCAGACACAATTCTCACTGATGATCAGGCTGGACACCACCTCAGAAATCCCACTAGAACCACAAGTTTAGCTTGGTGTACTGGTTCATGCATGTAATCCCAGAACTTGGGAGGATAAAGCAGGAGGAATAGGAGCTTAAGGCCTGCCTGGGCTACACAGCAAGACTATGTCTCCAAAAAAAAAAACAACAACAGTATCACAGGTTTAGGAATCTCCATAAATGCAATGGACCCGAACCCAGCCAGAAGAAGCCACTAAGCCACTAAGTAGCTCATGTAAAGTCCTGTGCATCCCTGGGCAAAAAGAATGAAAATAAAAATATTTTCAGCCAGAGCATACTTAAATTGTCAGTAAAACACATAAAATGTGATTTCATTCAGCATACAAGACTTTAAAAATTTTTTCTAAACAGAAGACAGTGCAGCTCTACAGAAGACACAGATTTATATGACAAAAAAAGACAAATACCACCACAACAGCCTTTTTTTTTTGAGATGGGGTCTCACTGTGTTGCCCAGGCTGATCTTGAATTCCTGAGTTCAAGCGACTCTCTTGCCTCAGGCTCCCAAGTAGTTGGGACTACAGGTGCTCGCCACCATCATTACCCACAGTTTCAAATATGTTCACTATGTCTCCAAGCAAATAGAAGGTCACAAGTGCGCAAACACAAAAACCAGACAGTACCTTCTCCCGCATCCTCGGTGACAATGGTGAAGGTGGCGGTTTTGTTGGCCACTCCATACACCAGGCCTGGACCGTATGCAGAAACGCTCCCACTGTTGGGGTAGTTCACATAGAACTGGAGAGGGCTCTCTGCATTTGCCAAGGACACAAACAAAATTGGGGACCATTAAGGGGTGAATGAATACCTCAGACCAGGGAGTATCATAACATTCACACATCAGCAGGCAGGTTTGTCACCTCCTGAGTAGAGGCAGAAGACAAAAGGAGATACTAGGGTGCTCACCCCAAGGGGTCTACTTCTTATCATTCCTTTACTTGGCACCTGAGAAGAATAGTCCCTGAGGCTGCTTCAGCCTGGAGGGAGGCCAAAGCAGAAGAAGTCATCTCAACTTGGCAAATAAGGAGATACTGTGCCATGTGGAAAAACAACACACTACTAGAGAGAACAACCACATGTCTTTTTGGAAGGCTGTTTATCTGTGCCATTCAGAATGTAAGGACTCCTGATCTAGGAAGTCTACCTCTAGAAATGGACACTGTGGTTCCCCTTAGTTCCCCCTGCACACATGCCCTCACTCCCAGGATAATATATTTTTGTTTAAATAAATATCACACACACATATGAACATAAGCCAAACTCAAAGAAGTTTTTTCATCATCTATCATGAAAGGCCAGTTTAAATTGCACTTAGAAACTGATGTGACAAAGGCTGATAACCAAATAGAAAAACAAACCAAGGATACAAACGTTCAGTTCACAGAAAAAGAATTAGGAATGGCACTTAAACGTATGGAAAGTTACTCTATTTCATTCACTGGAGAAATGTAAACAAAGCAACACTGAGGCACTGTGTTTCTCAACCGGGAGACTGGCAAAGATCCAAAAATGTGACCACAGGCACCACTGGCCAGGCTGTGGATGGAAGGCGCCCTCCTCCACTGCTGGGGTTTGTGGATCGAACAGCCCTCAGGGAAGGGCACTGTGGCAAGATCTATCAAACTCACAGATGCCTGCACATGGGACCAAATCCCACAGGTGCATCTTGAAGCATGAAATGATGGAGGTGAAAGGCAGTCTCACAGCAGGACTAGAGACAGCAAAAGGTGGGAAGGACTGAAATGCCTCAGTGGACAACTGGTTGAGTTTGCAATGGTTTATCCACCTGGAGGAAGGCTGTGAGGTGTGAAGACACTCTCTTATGCAGACCTGCACAGCTCTTCAGGACATCCTGTGAGATGTAGAGAGCAAGGACAGATGAGTATGTAGAGTACACTGCTACTTACATAAAAAGGGGCTGAGTTTAAAAATATGTATTTTCATTTGCATATAATCTAAAAACTACTCTAAAATTCAACATAAAAAATTACCAACAGTCAGGCTCAAAAAGAGAGCAGATGGTGGATATGGGTGTTAATGTTACCTACCTAAAATATTAAATTAAAAAATATTTAAAGTTACAAAAAGAAAAACAGAGCAAGACTAACACTGTGCTGGTTGATGGCCGTGAAACACGAGCTGCTCCTCCTTGACAAGCAAGGGCTATCTGTCCTCTCCTCTCACATCTTCTCCCTTCTGACCCCATCCCAAGCCCCACACCCCACAGGGCTCTGCAGGCCAGGCTGGAAAGTCCCTTGGTATGCCTCACATTTTTCTCCCAGCTTGACCTTTGGCCACACTCAGCATAGTGACAAAGACAAACAACCAGAGACCCAAAGGCCTGCACTGTGACCCAGGATGCCGAGCTATGTTATCTTTTTGGGAAACTGCTAGATAAGCCAGGGTCCCAGGCTATTTGGTCCCACAGGGATGCCAATGCTGCATTTCCAAGCCTTCCCAGAGCACTTCCTGCACAAAGGCTGACCAGACCTGGTTGCTCAGGCCCCCAAAGTAGGAGGCTGCTGAGCGGACGTACCAGGGATATGACTGCCCATGTACTTGATATGCATCTCATGAAGTCCGACCTCAGTGGGGGCATATCTGACGGTGACCGTGCCATCTTTGTTGTCAACAATCTCAGGTGTAGCTGTCTTCCAGAAGGCATGTGGACCTCTCCTGTGGAGCACAGGCATACAGGGCAATGAGCCCACCAGCAGTTTTCCCCAAGAAGCTGAGTACAGGGCATGGATGTCCTCACAACTAAGGTTTTCAGACCCAAGAACACTCATGTTGCCTAATATCCAAGTCCCACAGTGGGAAAATAGAGACTTACTTGCTTTTTATGGTTCCCTTTGGCTTCCACAAAATGCAGCAGGCAACTCATAAGTAAAGAGTTTCTACAACTGGCAAATTAGAAGCTCAAACAGGACTTGAGAAGACCACGGAACCAGCAGGATAAGTAGAACATCAACTCAAAGAGAAGCAGGCATTAAAGAGAGGCTGAGGAGAGAAAGTAAGCCTTGTACAACAGGCCTCAAGGTCAGATTGTATTTGGAATAGTGGGTGAGGAAGAGAAGACAGGAAGAAAGGGCAAACAGGAACCAGCAGTCAAGAAGCATCTAAGCACAGAACTTAACCTAGGCGGAATCTCGGGCTCTCTCAGGAGCCTGTGCAAGCTATAAACAAACCCCTCTTCACAGGAACACGCCCTGCGATCTCAGGGGTTCATGGACTGACCCCCTAAAGCAAGAAGCAAGGGTACAGGGATAAGGAGCCAGGTCCGGGTGACGGGGGAGCCACCCCCCAGCACTGTTCTGAGTTACTAATGCGAGCGAGCGAGCGAGCAAGAGAGTGAGTGAGGGGCTTTCACCAGGGCTTACCCGTGATTTCTCCTTTCCTGACTGCAAAGGGAATGACCAAGTCGAAAGGTTTAAACCCCAGGCCGTTCATGTCACTCACTGGGACATAGGCCTCTTCAGTCACCTAGAAACAGGAAGCAGTGATCACTGGGGAAAGCAGACAACAGCATGGGCCGATGAAGCTAGAGGGACAAAGCTCCTGGGAATTCTGCAAGCCAGTGAAGCCGGTATTTGGGGATGTGGCTTCCTGTGCAGCATGGGCTTTGGCTAACTGGCCTTGGGCCCTGAGCAAAAGCTGAAGGAATGCTAGAAATCACTCAGCAGCCAGCTTGTAAAATTCCCAGCAGTGGGAAAGTGATAGACAGCAATATCTTAGTCCCAAGGGGTTCCACCTGGAAAGGTTTAGTTACTTGTGGCCTGGAAAAGAAGGTGCATTTTAAGTGGCACAGAGTAGCAGCGGGTGGCTTTGCCCCTGACAGAAACCAAATGTGCAAGAGGCAGCTCAGGGTCAGCAGGAGGACTGCAGACAGCTGTCCATCTTGCTCTTTAAACATGGACAAACTGCACTGAGCGTGATCACAGACATGACGGCTGGCGATTCATGGCACGTGGATGGTGACACGAAGGTGGATCTTACAGAAAAAGCAGGATTGTGGTGATGGGCTAATCAGAGGGGGACACACCAATGGCCAGGACACCCAGAGGGCTTAAGCAATCCCCACAAGCAGGCGGCAGCTTTTCTGAAATGAAGGCTGAGTAAACACAGAAACACAAAAGGGAAAAACAAAGGTGTACCCAGGGCCTGAATCCAGGGGGACATGCATTTACCGGTGCCTCCTCCACAGCCGTGACTTCCCCATCCGTGGCCTGGTTGGTGGCAAATGGTGATTAGTTGGGAATCACATTGCTGGGATATTGCTACTCAATAGAGTGTAAACCTGAGAGCTGTAACCCCCTCTGTCTCACACACTCTCTCTCACACACACACACACACACACACACACACACACACACACACACACACAGCTCATCCTCATGGGAGGGTATATTCTTACTACCCTTCTGGATGGAAAGCTGGTGTCCCATCTTCAAATGTCAAACACACATGTCCTTTCAACACCTGATTCCATTTCTAGCAAGCAGGCCTATGGTGGCAGGAGACTGCATAGGTAAGCAATGTGTACAGGAGTTTTATTGGAGCTGTGTGTGCCGTGAAAGACTGAAGCAACATGGTGTGTACCGATAAGAGGTCTAACAAACCATGGTAGGACTGTATGGAGGAATGCTGGACAGCCATTCGGAAGAGAAGGTGAAGTCTGATGAATTCATATGGAAGGCTATCTGTGGCATACTGAGGGAAAGAAGCAAGGGGGAAAGTCACATGTATGGTCTGAGCCCATGTACAAGGCCAAGGAGTCTGTTGTGTAAGCGGAAAAAAGCTGACATCAATCATCTCTGCAGCATGGAATCAGGAAAGAGGTATCTTTACTTAATAAATGTCTTCAGTGGTTAATGTTTTAAAGTTCTAATAAATTCACTTAAAAAAAAATCAAACTAGCTGGGAGCATGGTTCAAATGGTAGAGCATTTGCCTGGCATGAGAAAGGCCCTGGATTCAATCATTTCAATCATCAGTACCCTGTCAAAAAAACAATAAAAACAAAACAAAACAAACAACTTAAACTCCATGCTTCTGATCCAATTGAGCCAATAGGGTCACCCTATCTCCTCGACCATAACAAAGAATGAGAAGTGGGATGCTTCCTCTACAGAGGCCTATGTGCACAGCTTAGCCCTTTTGTGTGCTGTGGTATCTGCAAAGGGCTTCAATGACAGCACACTTTGTAAACTGCTCCATTTGGAAAGCCTGAATCTCCACTTCTAGGGCCTGTTCTGACAGTGGCTAATGCAAGGCCACACTGGCCAGCAGGAAGATCTTTCAAGGGCTGGGCTATGGAATTGGATCCAGGATTTCTCAATGGCAGCAGGTGGTTAAGCTGCTTGTCTGTAACTTCATGGGCCACATGGGTGTGTGTCATACTTAACTGAACTAGCCTGCAGTCTCCTTAAGACATCTGCTATCCATGCAGCTATCCTTGCATGTCCTTTTGGCCTCAAACTTATAAGGGGAGACTGAGAATCTACCCAGAGAAGCCAATGAAAAGAGAGTCCATCTTTGTAGGTAAGGCTGGAAAAAGCAAGTCCTGAACCAAATACCAGGGGTGATTGTCCCCTTCTGTCACTCACAGTGGTGAGGGCGAGGTGAGTGTCCATGAGTTACCCTTGCTCTGTGTGTACTCAGGGCCTAGTGGATGTTTATTACTAATGAGTTTGGAAGCCCCACTTCAGGGCCCAGTTGCCAAAATGGTCCCCAGTATTTTCACTCTAATTTTCTCCCTCAGCTCTGCCCAGCACATGGGGTCACTTACTCCCAACCCAATGAAGCAGCAGGGCCATAACCTCTACCCAGTGTTTGATCTTCCATCCTCCCCAGTTCTAGCCAACAAGAGGAAATCTACTATGGGCTAAAAACAGATCCTTAAAACCACAACAAGGACCCTTCTTTGTAAATATGGGCATAAACTTTCTCATTGTGCTGCTTTCTCCCCTGAAGGAAAAAAAAAAAAAAACACTCCCAAATGGATAACATCCAAAGTTGACAAGTGTTTACATACTTGAGATACAAAAGAGCCTCCAGACCTCTGGCATGATATTTATAGATAAACAAATGTCAAAGGAAAGGAAAAAAGCTACAACAGATTATAGACTGGAAAAAAGTCCTTGGGCTTCTGTTTGGAATGGAACCTTTGTGCCCTTGTCCATCACTACACAATGTAAAATAATTAGAAGGTGTTTTGTAGGCTTTGGGTGGGGCTAGACCAGCAGGGACCTAGTAACCTGTGGTCAAGGGTGGCAGCCCCTCTGCATCAAAGGACATGGAACAGAAGCCGCACAGCACCTGGTGTCTGTCTAGACCAGGCACGCCTCATTTGTACAGGGCCAACAGGGCTTGGTTCTGAGGGTTACATGAGGTAATTCTCGTCTAGTTCCGCTCCCGCCCCCCCACTAGAAGAACTTTAATAATCAAAGCAAGATCTAAAAGCCACCCAAAACTGAAAATTAAAGACTGGTTATTTCACTAGCCCAGACATTCATGTGCTGGTTCCCTTCTATTCCAGATCTTCCTAGCTGTGTAAAGTGTGAGGTATCAGAGTGAAGTCTGCAGGTGGGAGAGCCTTGAGAGCCCTCTCCTCCAACCATGGGGATGGGAGGATGGGGGAAGAACAAGTAGAACAAAACTGTGTCATTTTCCTTACTTAAAAGTGTAAAGAAAAAGTAAACTGGGTGTACGCAGGACATTGCCTAAGTCCCTTGATATGACATATCCCTTAGTAGCTGAAGAGATTCTCCCAAAACCCTTAGTGCCAAAGGGTCTCTGTGTTTCTATGGATTACACATGGCCCTATAAGGCCATGACTGTATGGAAGGATGTTCTAGTCAAAGTTAAAAAACTGGTTACTGGGTCTGTATTTGCTAATAACAGCAAGCTCTGCAGAAGGAATTTAGCTTACCATGACTGTGAAGGGGCTGTTGGGAATATCGACACCACCAAAGCGCACATAGATCACATAGGTGCCAGGCTTGGCAGCTGTGTAGAAAATGTCATAGGTGCCATCCTCATTTTCAATGACATCCGCTTCAGCCTCAGTACCATCTGGGGTCAGAATCGTGCAGGTCACCTTCCCCTTCCCAGCAGTCTTGGCATCTACCACAAAGCCCACTTCCTCTCCAGTTTTCACAGTGGGGGCAATGCCAGGACCTGCAGAAAAGTTCAGGAAGAGAATGGAAGCATTGGCTACAGACATTTGCAGTGAGAACAGATCACATGCGTGTGTACTAGCTGTGCCTGCAAATGTTAGACCTGCCAGACAGAGGGACCACCCCCTCAAAGACCACTGGGGTAAGGTGCTGCTCAAGGGAGTTAGCCATCAAGTTCTTAATAAGCAAGAGCATCTGAAAGTTTTGGGTGCTCCATGGCTCTAGCTGAAGGTCAGTCGTGATTGCCCACATTCATCAGGATAGGATGAAGGTTAACTTTCCTCAGCAAACATACTGGGCATTTTCTTCAGGGCTGGGTCCATGGATCAGAGACAGGTCCATGGATCAGGACTAAGTACATGCAAAGGGCAGCAAGCAGATGCCCTCCTCTCAAATGTTCATAGTCTAGCAGGGCAGATGGAGGTAAGCCAGCTCCAAGACTGCTGTGGGCGGAAACCTGAGAAGGGACTGAGTCACAGGAAAATCAATCGATCCATCTTCTAGGGAGTGTCCTGCTGCCCATCTATTTAAAGGCTCTAAGAATTTATATCCCAGGTTGACAGAGGCTTCCTTTAAAGAGGAAAAAATGGCTTGACTCTGAAAAATGTAACCTCTCCTCAAGCAACAAATAGTCTTTTCCAGTCTCTCTCTCTCTGACTTGGGGCACCCCCATACACAGACAGGATTGATACAAAATTGTGAGGTACAGAAAAGGGTGTAGGAAAAGCACATTGGCCAAAATGAGTAAACTGTGTAGGTGCACCAGGGAAACAGGGAGTTTCTGAGAACACTGTTCATACAGTGAGGGGAACAAGAAAAGACAGCAGCCAGTAGAGGAAGACCTTGAATGACAGGCCACCACCAGACCAGGAGAGAATTTTCTCAGGACATAGCCTGAGCTGGGAGAGGAAACAGAAGGCTGGAAAGCAAGAGGGAGACCTTAGCCCTCAGGTTGGCAAAGGCGATCCAGCTGTCAGGGGTCACTGCATAAACCAGAGAAGATGGCCTGGCCAACTATTACAAAATTTCTCACTTTTTTGCCATGGGTGAGACAAAAACATACAAGCTGAGCAATTCATAGCCAGGCACTGAAAGCCAGAAGATTTTTCTCCATCAGGATGAGATGAAACAGAACACAGCCAGGGTGGACCCATGTTTAGTTTCCTCATTTCAAGAGAAGCAAATCTGTTTCATTTCAGAGATGAAGATTCCTATTTTGAAATCTGCTTGAGCAATACCACCAAGCTGCAGGAACAGTTCTTAGAAACTGAAAGGCTGGTGACAGTCAGATAGTTGTGCCTAACTGAAGGAAAGTTGAAGCTTGAATGTTTCTGAATTCCTGAAAGGAAAACCCAAATGAATGAGTTCCTCTAATGTTGATCTGAAATGCAAATGAATCCTGAAAAAGTGAACTTAGCTGCTTCAGGGGACTCAATATCAGTGTTGAGACCTCAACAAATGTGCCCCACTTCAAAAGTGACAGAATAGCTACCACATACCTGATACCATGCTCAGAATTCTCATCTAATCTTCGCAATAATCCTCTGTCTCAGGAAGAGCTTCTTGAATCTGAATGTCCCTCCAAAAAGATCCTCAATCTAAGTATTTATGACTGAAACTCAGAGAGACTGAGGAACTTGCCTGGATCACACAACTGTTAAGTGACACAGAGGACCTATATCCTGGTGTTCTGACTCCAAAGCCCACATTCCTGAATTTGGTGCCACCCTGCACTCACCTGTGGCAAGGCACTTGCTGGCATCACCCGTCTGCATGGCCCGGATTCGGTAAGGAGAAAATGGGATGTTGTCCCCCCCATAGGTGACACCAATCATATAGCGTCCAGTCTTGTCAGGGATGTAGGTGACAGCATACGTGCCATCTTTATTATCATGGACAACAGCTCTTTTGGGTTTTCCCTCTTGGTCCTGTGCATCACAAAGAAGCGCTATTTAGGATGTTGTCAAAATGTAAAAATCGTCCATCAAAAACCTTAAAAACCTTCTGTTCATTAATTAGCACCTGCAGTGGGAGGAGAGAATGATGACTTAATATAATCTTGTTTCGATAGGGAGAGGAGAGGGTTGCAGATCACACCACGATGGTCTGTCAAGTGAAATATAAAGGGGTAAGGAGCAGAAGCTCAGCTCACATGCTGCCACATGCACTCTTCCTTTTTCCTTTACTAAGAGGACTTTCATTCTTAGCTAGGCACACAGTTCCCAGGATGCAAGGGTCTATGTTCTAGCATCCTTGTGTCAGGTGACTTTTCTTACATAGACACTGACTCTGTAAAAATCTAACAAATGTATGCAACCAAGTCAGAAGTTGGTTTTTAAAATCCTTGTTCTTTTCCCTGACCAGAAAATCAGGTCTTACAAATAAAGTTTGGCTCTAGAAAATAACTCAAGAGTTACCGTTATCTGGACAGCAAGCAGGCCTTCCCCAGCATCTCTGGCATCAATTGCAAACTCCACAGGCAGGCTGGCAGGTACCCCATAGGAACTGAGGCCAGGGCCACTGGCAGTCACCTTGCTGGCATCATATGTGGGAAGAACCTTGACCTTAAAGGGACTTGAGGGACACACACACATACACAGGTCAGTAATGATACAGATCAACCCAACTCCACCTGACCTTTTTTTACACAGAAAGACCGGGGCTGAAAGGAGGATTTCTACACTAGACAAGACAGCAAGTTTAATCAAAGGGCCATAAATCCAGTAGAAATTTAGAGCCATGAGGTAGAGACCATCATAGGACAGACCAGCCAGAAGTTTCCCTGAGTTCATTCCATGGGAAACAAATAGTTTGGGGAAGACAGTTTCCAAATTACTTCAGGAAACAGAGTTAAATACATTAAACCCATTTGTTGCCATGCTAAGACAATGGAAACCAAAATGGAAAGAATACTAGAACTTCAGTTTTAATGTTTTATAATATCTCATTCTATATCTATATTTATTCTTACTTTATGTTTTATATGATGTGTATGGTAGATAATGTACTAGTAGGATAATATACAAATGTAATTTATAAATGACATATCTCTACACCTGGAGATACATGCATGAATGTCCATATAAAATGTGCATACTGGGGGTATAGGTAAAACTTTTCTTAAGAGATAAGATTAAAAAACAAAAAAATCCTCAATGAACCTTTGAGGCTGCGTTAGAAGTGAAGAGTTTATGCAACATAAAGTTTCTACCCAACACCTTCTGAGAATGCTATGGTCAACTGAACTCTCAAGTCAAGTGGTGAACACCTTTGTCTTAATCACAAAACTATTCACAGGTCACCAAAAGGAAGTCTTTAAAAACTAGTGTAGTTCTGTTTCTCCATAGAGCTCCAACCTCTTAACCTCAGGTCCCCTTAAATTAAAGATGAATGAAATGGGGAAAACAAAGCAGGAACCTAAGTACCAGGCCTAGTAAATGATAATGTGTGTGGAACACACAGGTTCTGGGCAATATTGACTGCGTGGATGCTTGCCGTTCCTGCAGGTGGGTGGGCTTGAGGCTGGTTCTACCCATTCCTCGAGGGTGAGGCACTCACCTTCGAGGGATCTCTTCATCATCATATTTAACAGAGACCATGTAAGGGCCCTCCTGGGACGGGGTGTAGGTCACTGTGTGCGTGCCATCCCCACTGTCCACCACATTGACCGGCTCCACTAGGCCTGAGGACAGAGATGAGAAGTCTCAATGGCTACCTGGCATCCTTTTCACTCCATTCCAGGCTGATTTTGAAACAGGATCACATCCATCCTTGACAGCTATTGGTTTCCACTGACGAGTAACATAAAGGCAAGCAGGCCATAATCATAGGCCTAAGAAATCACAGAATCCACAATTCATGGTTACAGAAATGACCCCAAGAGACACCTTTAGCTTTTTGTTGGCTAATGTGCACTTGGTCTGCCCTACAGTATAATTAAGGAGACTGCCATGTTTGCTGCTGGAGGGCATATGGTAAAGATGCTGGTGCAGACAGGCTAGAACCTTTCAAGCTGGTTAGTCGTGCTTAGGATGTGGCAATTTTACTCTACAGTCAAGAAAGTGCAAAAGAATCTAGAACCCTGAACAGCAAAAATTAGCCCATGAGCTGGCCAGTCAAGACTGTGGCCACCTTTGAGCAAAGACCACCATGTTGTCAACATGCTGGAGTATAGGTATAGGGCAGATAAGGGTGTCAGTCTTATAGCGTGAAGGGGTCCCTCAATGGATGCCAGCAGGAAATGCTTAGGGATTATGGTGAAATATAATCAGGGCATGCACTGGGTTGATGGGTTGATAAGATTCCAGATTCCAGGTGGAAGTCAAGAATGGGTCAGCGGCTGGGTAGGTTAATCAAAGCATGGCATGCTCGTTAAGCAGAGACAAACTGATTTGAGAGGTGAGGCCAGCAAAAGACATTCAGGTTACATAATTTAAAGCAGCAGCCAATAGGAAAATGCAAACCTGTCTCCATAAAGTCACCCTTCGGGTCACCTTTAAAGAACTCTGAAATGGCTTTCAAGGGGCTGTGCCATGACTGGGAATCCATCTCATCAGCTAAAATTAAAAAGCTGTTACTTATGAGTCCTCCAGAACAGAGGCCAATATCTAAGTAAAGCTTCTATACACACACACACACACACACACACACACCCTCAAAGCTCAGAAACTTCATAGAATCCAATTCCAGCCCCATGACCTCATTTCCCTCAAACCACTTCTGCCTTCTGCCCTGAGTTTCAAAGGGCCTAACCTCCTGGTGAACCCCATTAAAGAGAAGGTTCCTCTTTAAAGGAGGAAGCCCCTATGTGGCCACTTTTGGAAGCCAAAAACACAACACGGGACAAAAAGTCCAGATTTCTTAAGAAATTAGACACCCGGTCTCCTATGGGAAGAAAGGTACATCTTAAATGCTGGAAGAAATGTGGCCCCTGACCAAAGCAGGTAAGTCTCAACACACTTCAGGGGCTTTGTCCCTAATGATCTGCCAGCCATACCAAACCTAAATTCCAGGCTACCAACAAAATCTACTTCCCAGAGACCCTTTTGCTCCAGGAGTTGGGACAATGACAAGGCCACATCTCTGACATTCCCACGATTCCAGTAGGTTCCACATGAGCACTGAGGCATAACAGAGAGTTATTACTTTCAAACTCCACCACCAGCCCACATCCAGACCCCTCCTCCTCCCCCCCAAACCTCACAAATGCTGAACTAGGTAATGAAGCAGTCACACCGACATTACCTACGAAAGCCACACACTACTTGTTCAACTAGTTACTTAAAAAGGTGAAATGTTAAAAGGAAATTTAAGGCCATGTTATTAAAAGGGAGAACAAAACAGACTTCTGGAGAGATAACAGGCCTGCCTACTTTTAAGCAGGACTGTCTACTGGTTAGCTAGAATATGGAGCAATAAAGTAATTTAAGAAATTTAATTTTAGGTTCATGACCAAACTCAAAAGCAAAGTAACCCACTCTGGGTCACTGTTGTCCCTGTCCAGAGCAGGTGAATATCAGTAGGGAGGCAGGGTGCATACTCACCTCGTGGGCCCAGGACCCTTACTTCCAGTGGAGCCAGGCCAGCCTTGCTAGTATCCACCGTGAAGGACTGTGGGATACATGCTCGGACGCCAGAGCCCAGCCCAGGGCCAGCAATTTTGACCTTGCTGGGGTCCACAACATCCTTCACAGGAACCCTGAAGGGACTGCCTGGAAAAGATTTCATGGGATTCTGAGAACACAGCAATTGGAGACCCACCCTCTGCACACCTAGAATTTCACGGTTGCTCCAACTGGACCTCAATTGTGTAGGCCTCAGGCAACTCATCCTGCTCTGTGTGGGTACCTGTATGCCCACTCATTGTTTCAACTGCTGCCACAGAGCACCTACTACATTTGTGCTGGGTGCTGAGCCCACAGTGCCGAAGAAGGACGATGAGGTCATGTCACTTTGATATCCTATGTAACATATGTGGGAAGTGGTACAACATGGAGCACTTAGGAGGTCATGAACCCCAGGTGCAGGAGACCCAAGAAAGCTTTCCAATAATATCCAGACTAAGACACTAGAGGGAGCAGATGGAGAGGTGCATCAAGCAGAGGCCTAGAGGTGAGGGAGAATCTGGCTGGTGGGAGAATTGACAGAGGAAGCTGAGTGGTAGGAGTATAGAGAGAAGACCAAAGAGGGTCAAGCAGGCCTTGAAGCCTGTCTCTAATCTCCTTTCCTACAAATGGCCTCCAAATGCCCCCTGGACTCCTCTCCTCTAACACAGCTGCTATCTTCCAATCGCAGAGGGCCTCCATTGTTGTCTAATGAAGCCTTAGCTTTCTCTCAGAGGGCAAGCTGTGGTCCTGATGCATGCCTGACCCCTGGAGACCCTGAGGACTCTGACTCTTTGAGAGTGTCAATTATAAAAATCAATAAAAAATGGAAAATAAAGGGAAATTGAGACTTGTGGGAGAAACATGAGACAGAACAGGGTTGGACCAGGAACCCTAATGGGACTCCATTAGAACAGAGAAACAGGAAGTCCCAGTATACCTAGCACCCTGCCTTAGGCTGCCAAGTCCATTGCCAAAGGGTTCCATGTGCCCCTTGCCATGTGCAGGAGGAATCCTGTGTTTCTTGTGATGTTTGCTACTTGCTAAACATCTGCCATGGAAGCCAAAGTCTCTCTGTTATGCATCCCAGAAAGCTTATCCTTTGTGGAATTAAAAGTGTTAACAGACACACACTAAGAACTGAGACCTTGGTTTCCTAACAACATCTGGGTTTCTACGACATTCGGTTTTTCAGCTAAGTGAAATAAATGGCTGACCCTGGCAAAGACAAGCACAGCCCTCCATGCTGGTTGGGGTTTAGAAAACAAAAGAGAGATTTATTTTACACAGTGAAAGTTGAAAATTTCACTATCTTCACATGTCGACCACAGACTACCTTTGAGGTCAAACTCTAAGTCAGAGCTTCCGTTGGAATCTGTTTGAACTAAGCACAAAAGTAGTCACAAAGCAACATGCAAAGGTAAAAGACAAACAGATCCAAGATGGCAGACACCAAGGATTATCTGCCATTCTTCTCCTGTTCTTTGCCCCAGGCAGACATCACCAATCGATCATGGCAGTCCTTCTTCTTAATATGTTCTGAATCTGAATCAATCCAGTGCTCCATGCTTAGGAAACCAATAAGCTATTATGGGTAAGACAGGATAGTTGGTTTAAAATAATCCCAGTAGAAATTTGTATCAGGCCAGGAAAAACTGGGTTCTGATTTAACCACCAAGAATTCTCAGGAAAACAAATTAGAAGCTAGCAGGTCATGGAATGTTTCAATACCTCACAAGTTACCTTAGTTAGTAGCCTGACACTAAGAACACCAACACCTTACTAGGTATCTCTGCCTGGGACAGTTCTAGGTCTCAGAAGAAACTGGCATTCAGGTCTGTGAGGCAAGAGTCTGAAATACACACCCTGGTCTACATCTGATGGAAAACCCCAAATAGCTCTTCTGCTGTTATATTCAAAAGTGGTCATTTGCTGAGCACTTGCTGGTCAGCCACCAGGGCCCAAACTCTCACCCTTTCTGCAGGGAAATTCCCAAACTCATGGTACCCAGCACTTTCCCAAGAATCAAAACAACTGTCACCAACATAACCACATCATCTCCACTGCTGCCTGCCTGGTGGAAGCCACTGTGTCATCTCTTCTGGGGACAGCATTCTGCCCATTCTCAGCATTCAACTCTCTCATCCCAAGCAGTGTGGTGTGGCAAAACTGCAAAAGGGACTCACAGTTCTACTGTAACACCTATCTCCATTTTCCTCCTACAAGTTTTAGCCACATAAACAGTAGCCACGTAAGCACTGCAGGGCTAGGAGCTTTCTATTTCTTGCCCATGGCTGAAATTCTCTAGACTAGTAACAACAGTAACTTTAAAACTCTACACTGAAGAAGCTATAAACACATGTTTGAGAAGAAACCAGTCACTCTGAATGACTTAAGGCTAATATGTACATCTGAGTAGAATTCGTCAATGCTTTTGACCAATGTGTGAAAGACAGAGTGACTGTGAGTGTATGTGCACATTTACACTTGGTAAAGAGGAAAGAGGGGACAGAATCAGGAAAGTGCATGGTCACTGGACACTCCAGCTTCCTAGGAGATTTTCCAGAAACCCAGCAGGGGATCCTCAGTCCACTGCTCAGTATTCCCCTTGCTTATTGGGGGAGAATTACATGAGCCCAAGGCTCTTCCTGCTCCTGGGGTCCTGACGTGGAGCTCTGCCCTCTTCTCACCACCCCCGAAACAGGGCAGGAGCTGGTATAAAAACAACCTTTGGAGTCCTTGGACTTGTGTTCAACTACAGAACACATATTCCTACCCTCTTAGACATGTGGTGGGGGTGGGGAGGCAAGGGTGATGATAACTCCATCAAGCAAACAGAACCAGAACCTATGGAGATCTCTCTCCCTGGAACAAAAGTGGAGGTCATCACTACTTAAGTCACATATTTCTTTATGGTGTCACTCTCTTTAGCACTGGTTCTCAGTCAAGGGTTATTTTGTTCCCAAAGATGTAGGGCAATATCCAGAGACATTTTGTTAGTGACAAAGGACATCTAATACGTAAAGGTCAAGGCTGCTGACAAATACTCCACAAGGCACAGAACATCCCTCAATAACAAAGAATTATCCTGCCCAAAATGTGACAAAACCAAGGCTAAAAAAAAAAAAAAAAAAAAAAAATCTCATTTTACAATAAATGTGTACATCATTAAATAGAAAAGATATTAATAAATGAGAATTGAATTAGTATGTCTTTGATAGCTACCAGGACTGTCAATGAAAGAAAAGATAAAAAGACCCATAAATAAGGTGAATAAGAAACAAGCACAAATTAAAGTAAATATTTTCAATTTTGTTAAAAAAAAAAAAAAAAAAAAAAAACCCAGCTTTTGGCTGGTAGAATGACTCAAGTGGCAGAGTGCCTACCTAGCAAGCATGAGGCCCTGAGTTCACACCCCAGTACTGCCCCCCTCCAAAAAAAGGTTTCCCTTAAATCAAGAACTAGGTCCTTTGATATATAAACTATTATTTCCAGTCAAAACTCTAAGCCAATGCTTTCTGCTGGGAGATAGAATGTTCCTGGAAATGTAGCCCTCAGGAAAATTCTCTTTGCAGCTACTACAAATATCAGAATATTTTTCCTATGCCAGAGAGATAAGCAAAATCAAACCTGTTTTCATGCAACAGGTTTTTTGGACCACTGCCTGAGGAATAGCTTACCAGGGATGTGGGCACCTCCATATGTGATATTAACGTCGTAATCCCCTGGAGCAAAGGGGATGTACTCAGCACTGCAGCTTCCATCTTTGTTGTCTCTGCAGTTTATCTTTGACTCTGATGGTCCCTCAACAGTAATGCCAAGCCCGCCAATTCCTGCCCCTCTGGAATGGGTGGGAAAAAAAGTGAAATGTGTGCAGTCCATGCTTAAGTCTAATTTCAGCAATTCACTTAAATCCCTTTACAAACCATCCCAATAAGCCAACCTGACTCAACTAATGTCATAACACATCTCACACAGTGAATTTCTCAATAAACACAGCTTTCCAATGTTTATCCTTCCTTTGTTTTTCTTATCTAATTGCACTGGCTAGGATTGCAAATACAATGCAGGTATGTGCCCTATGGTCCTAAGAATGTGCTCTACCACTGAGCTGTAGTCACACCCCCTTTGTGGTCAATTGTAACAGGAATATTTCTAACATTTCGCTTATAATGGAGGTTGGCTATTCTGTATTATCAAGTAAGAGTTTCCATCTAGTCCTAGTTTGCACCACAGTTTTATGACTATTATCAGTACTTTTTGGTACGTTTTTAGATGTTCTGGGTCTCTCTCTGTAACATAAGTCTTTATAGAAGAAACTATCTCATACATCACAAAAATATACCTTACCAAAGTTGGAACGCCATGACACATATGTAGGGTATAGTTATAAAATTTTTTTAAAGCAGTCAGATTACCTGGGGCTACTCCTTTCAGAGAATGTATACACTGGACCCAGGGCTGCCTACCTGGTAACCACTGTGAAAACGTTGGGTTTATTGGTAAAGGCCTCTTTCAGCCCAGGACCTTGCGCCTGGACCCGAGAGGGTTGGCAGCCTTCGGTTACAGCAACTTTGAAGGGACTATTTGGGATGGGCACATCATCATATGTCACCTCCACTATGTGGAGACCTATTGAAAACAAGAAATAGAAACACTTATTTGTGCATAAGTCACCTACTTGTGAGAAATGACACTCTATTTCTGGGTTTTATCTAGCATTCAAATCTGTGTGTTATACTATGTTATTTAAAAAGAGCAGATTATAAAAATGGCAAGGTTGGTATACTCTCATTTAAAAAAAAATACAGTTATTTATGCTTTGGGTTTACTTGGCAGTCACATAACCCACACATACCACCCCAAATATACAAAGTCTGCACTCAGATCAGTCATCCTAAGCATACTACACTGAACTGGAAAAACACCAGCCATTAACCAAAAGACCATGGGAAACCCAGAGAACAGAAAAGATATGCATCCATAAAATTGAAAATATCTGTGCCAGAATATCTTTAGGATCATATATTCAGGTAATGGGGATATAAGATGCTTTATTTTTTTTTCTTTATGCTTTTCTGATTGTTATTTTCTATTTTTTTACAATCCCTAATATTCAGAAAAGCAATTAACATGCGACAAAAATTACTTACACAAACTGTGCAGTGCAATATGCCATGATATTACCCTGTAACCTGGACTGCTGGAGAGGAAGGTCTCACATGTCCATGTTACTTTGCCCTTCCTCTGCTGAGGCAGGCCAAGCACATGGGTCAGGGGTCAGCACCAGTCACTGGGAGGAAATGGTTAAGCACAGCTCAGAACAAGGGTCACATCCAAGGAAAGGATAACGCACCTTTCTCAAAGGGAGTGTACTCCACCTGGTAGGTCCCATCAGCATTGTCTGTGACAAAGCACTCAGTGGAGGCCCCGGAGGGGTTGTCAATGTGGGCCTTAATGTGGTCACCCCCAACCTGGGTCAGTGGTCTTGAGTCCACTGTGAAGTCGGTGGTGGCTTCCCGAAACACATCTGCAGAACAACCACACAAAGAAGAACAACATCGCATGGTGAACTGAGGAGCAAACCCAGAACCAAGGATCTTGGTACTTGAGAACACATTAAGTTCAATTTCAGTGTCAGCAGAACTGTTTCTCTGACTGTCAAATGTAGACATCTTTTCCCCAAAAGAAGCTCCTTCTAAGGTAGTCTTGGCCAAGTGACAGCACATAGGTGAGGATCTAGGCCGAGCTAAAAGTGTGTCTCTCACCTTCCTGTATGGAAGACCTGGACCCAATGCCATGACCTTGGAGGAGTCAAAGGGCAATTCAAAAGTCAGCTTTAAGGGGAATCCAAGCATGTGCCACAGACCAGGTCTTCGGCACATGTGGAGTCATTCAGCACATTTTAAACTTCATTCCAACTACATGCCAACAATTCTACATGTTGAGTTACTACACCAAAACCAAGTTCTCTGGCTTTACTGCAGAACTGGAAAACCTGCTATCAATACTAATGCTGAGTCCCATTCTCCACGGAGAAACAGAAAACAGGGGCCAGTAACACAGCCTCTGGAAATGCCAGGTGCTCCCCTTCGCCTCAGTCACCCCCAACCACTTCCTGAGGCAGAGATCAAAGGTCTTACACCTTGCCTGGCCCCTGTAGGGGTTGAGTTTGCAGAACCTGCTCTGCCAGTCTCTGATGGCCCTTAAGTCCTAGCCCACCTCTTATTTTAGAAACTCACCTTTTCCTTCTATTCCTGGCCCAAAGACTTTGACCCTACTGGTGTCCACAGCAGGCTCCACTTTGACCCGGGCAGGAAAGTGTGGCACAAGCTCACCACCATACTTCATGGTCAGTGTGTACATGCCGGCTGTCAGTGGTACATAGGTCACTGCATAGGTGCCATCTTTGTTGTTCTGAATACTGACTTCAGCTTTTGCTCCTGAGTCTGAGACAGCTTCTAGGCCCAGGGTCCCGGGCCCTGCTTCTGAACAGTCAACTCTAAGGAGTCCAGCTTCACCCACTTTCCTGGGCTCAAGACCTGGTCCTGAGGCCACAACCTTAGAGGGGTCAAATGGCATTTCAATGTCAGCTTTGAAGGGAGACCCGGGTATGTGGACTTCTTCAAAGAGAATGTTAACGAAGTACTCCCCAGGTTTTGTGGGAAGGTAAGAGACGGAGCAGGTCCCATCACCATTGTCAGAGCATTCAATTTTGGCTTCACATGGACCTTCCACGGTTAGGCCCAAGCCTCCAGTTCCAGCTCCTTTGGTATCAATGGTGAACTCAGCAGGCTTGCCTACAAGACCACCTGCAAGGCCAGGACCATGGGCCTTCACCTGTTCGAACAAAGAATAAAAGTGGAATTCTATCTGGAGATGATATTGCTGCCCAGTCAGCCTGGGTTTCACACCACAACTATAACCAGCCCTGAAGCACACCTGAGTTAAGAAGCCCCTCTCCCTGGGGCCCAATGTGTCACTGAGTTAGAACTACAGTGCAGGAAATGCTACACACAACTGAGAACCCAATCAACTTCAAGGCACAGGCAGCATGTGTGGCCCTGGATGGTAAGCAGGAGGCCAGATGGCAGCCCCTCCTCTACTCTCCTGGCTCTTCTGAACCACAGGGCTGGACCTGACACCTAATATCCTGCCCAACAAACACACATGAGTTTCCGGGGGTGAGGGCTCACAGAAGGGGGTTCATGGACCTCACAATAGCTCGGGCTACTACACTTTAAACAAATTATGTGTAATAAAAAAAAGAAAACAAAAACTATTTTTTAAAAGAAGGGAGGATTCAACAATTCAGATAGTTCTATAGGTTTATGCCATTCGGACCACTGGAAATACCCCAAAACCCTTGAGTCAAGAATACCAATAAGAAATGATAATGAGGATAATATACTTTTGTATTATATTTTTACAGCTTCCATAGGGCAAGCTGAGTCTGTGTCACATTCAGGGCCTCCTCCCATCCCTATCTGCTGGCCAATTATTGAAGGAAAAGGACTGGGGCAGGGAGTCCCTCACTAGTCTCACAAACACAGAGGGAGAGGGAGCAGCTGCCCAGGGACCCTTCATACTGAATTGCACTTGAGAACTGACTTTCATCACAAAATGACTTTCCAAAGGTCTTTTCCAGGCAGGACTGGAGGATGAGATGTCACATTTTAACAGTGGGGCAAGTTCTGGAATAAAAACCAAAGCTGACCTTGGTGGGATCTGGTGGCAGTGTGGCCTCCACGGTGTAGGGGCTCCCAGGCACGGGATGTCCATCGTAGGTCACATCTACAGCATACAGTCCCTCCTCCCGAGGGATGAACTTAGCCATACTGCTCTCCCAGCCTGCCACAGGCGTCACTAGGCATGGCACAACCTTCCGAGATGGACTCAGGATTGTTACATCCAGCTTGCCCTGGCCTCCTGCCCCCTTGGTGTCAACAGCAAACTCCTGATCCTTCCCAACCTCGACCCCTAGGAAAGGAAAACAAGCCAAAGTGATAAGCTACCCCTTTCCAGCAGCAAGAACAATCGTGGGCAAACCACTGGACATGAGGCTTCATCATGGCATTTCAACAACTGGCTTAAGAACAGTGATCATTAACAGTGATGATAGCTATTATCATTTGCTAAACGTATTTCATATGCCAGGCACGAATACAGCACATCATCTCCTTTGATTTTCACCATAACCCTATAGGATACTTATTATTAACAACTGGGAAAACTGAGGGTCAGGGTGGCCAAGTAACTTGTCCAAGATAACATATCCAACGGGCCACAAAGCTTGGACTCAAACCTAAATTTATCAAACTCCACAATCTGCTTTGAGAGATTATAGCCAGGTAAGTTAAAATCAAGCACTGGCCTCTTCTTTACTTACTTTTGGTGATAACTTTTATATGGAAACACTCCCACAAGTCAATGTTTTATTTACTAACTCTTGGCAAGAAATGCAATCTTATACTCAACCCTCCCTCCAAGAAGGCAAAAGTGACAAGAGCTGGCAAAGGCAGAGAACTGCTGTCCTGAGAACTGCCCCTGTGATGGCTTTGAAAGGCCTCTACAAAGCAAGACCATAGGAAACTCAACTGTTATTTTGACAAAAACAGGGAAAAGATTTCAACCAAACAAAAGCACTACAAACACCCATACACACACATCTACCCCGCCCCCCACCAGCCCCACCACAACCCAGGCAAATTTTGACTCTGGGGCAGTATGGGGCCTGCCAAGATGACATAACCGACCACAACCAAGGAGGTCTGAGACCTCCAAGTCCCAAAGGGAAAGAGACTTTTCCTAACTGGCATCGTGCTTTTCCTGTTCTGGAGTGAAAACTCTCACTGTCTAGAGGAAGGGACTGGCAAACAAACGCATATAAGGGACAGTCAGTGTGCATATGCTTAGAGTGGGTTGCCCCAGCCACAAAAGCCAACACACTGAGCTCTTACTTTGGGGTCTCTACAACTGGGAGTTGCAATTTGTCACGGTGGCACGGCTGAGACCCTGAAAAACCTTCATAGAGGGACACAGGAGGCCTGCCCCAGGCATAGCATTCCCCCTGCTGGGTCGGTGGCCCACAACCAGGTGAATGTGCACCACTGAGGCACCCAGTCAGGGATTACAGGGCAGTTAAGGAGATAGATGAGATGCACTGCTGACTATGAAAGATAGGTAGGGCAGGATAACTTTGATGCAAAAAAACATTTCCAAATGTTTCCTCCTTGCACATCTATGTGTGGATGTACTGGAAAGGAAACATTGAACCGATGACTTTGGTCAACCCTAGGAAGAGGAAGAAGTGATGGGTAAAAATAAAATTCACTTACTATAACATTTTCCTAGATGAAAAAAATGAATTTGTAAGGGCTGATGGAGTGGCTCAAGTGGTAAAGCACTTACCACTTACTGCCTAGTAAGTGTGAAGCCCTGAGTTCAAACCCCAGTACAGCCAAAAAGAGAAAAAGAAAGGATTTATATATTACTTGTATAAAAAAATTACTTAATGGAAGGAAATTTGAAGCTGAGTGTAAGTACATCAGTGTTCCTGTCATACTACCCTCTTAACTTTTGTATGTTTGAAATTTTTTATAATAATAAAATAAAATAATAACTCAAGGCCTAAGGATGCAGTGGTAAGCCCTCTGCCTAGCATGATCAAAGTTCTGAGTTCCAACCCTGCATGCAAAAAAAAAAAAAGAACAGAAAAAATTTCTAAATTAACACAAAATTAGAAAGTTTTAACATGACTTATAATAGTAAGGGCCCTAACAAGCTAAAGGAGTATAAAGACAGGGACACTGTGGCTATGATTTCTGAGTGCCAAGGAGCTGATTTTTAAGGTTGGCTATCAACCTTACTGTGATTCAGGTGCCAAGAAGAAACTCATATGAAAGCAACATTCCCCAGCTCCTCTCTTAACAATTTCCCATGGTGACATCAACAGTTACAGAGGGCTGACTGGGTGCCAGACCCTGAATGATTAGCTCATTTCATTTTCACAACACTCCCATGAGGGTAAGTGTTCTCCACCACCCATCCATGCTGTGCAAATGAGAACACTCATGGAGAGCTGTTTCACAACATGGTCCACTTTCAAACCCAAGTCTGCAAAGCCTCTTAAGAAAGCATGGCAGCCAAGTTTGCTAACCAACCCATCTCCCCTCCCCCGACACTTACTGTTTTCCAACCCATTGATTTTGATCTTGTTCAGGTCCAGTGGAGCAGCAACACCCACAGTGAAAGGGCTTTTAGGGATGGAATCGCCACCATAAGTCACTAGGACCTGCATGTTGCCCTGGAAGGAGAGAAAAAATAGTCACATCTGGGTACCAAAACACTTACCTGGCATGCACACTTACCTTCCAGATCCTTCAGGCCTCCAAGAGAACAGTAGGCTTGACTAATGGACTTAGAAAGTATCTGAGCCACATTTCTTTAAGCTTTTGAATGCTTGGCAAGAACAGAGAAATCTGATCAAGTAAGAGCAGCTACTGACGACAGGGACAGCTTAATAAGCATTTACTATATACCAGCACTGCATCACGAGCTTTTATGCATTTCCTTGATTTAGTCTGAAAACACTGCTCAGGGGTAGTTCCTTCTGTCATCCTCATTATTCCCAAAGAGGAAACTATGGCTGAGTGAGGTAAAGGAACTTGGTCCCATCACACATCTGGTTAAGTGTGTGTGCTGGGCCTCAAACCCATGGCACCCCAAATTGTATCATAGATACTCTGCCATCCACCTTGCAACCCTACACACAGCCAACCCAGCTATGGGTACAGCTGGGGGGCCTGGGGCCTCTAAACAATCAGAACCAGTTTTTCCACATCTTTGCAATCAGTTCCAGGCCACCAGGCTGCAAAGGGATTAGCAGTGGTTCACCTGGAGCTGTTCTGAGACCAGCACACAGAATCTAACTGCTCTTTCTTGTGAAGGAAAGAAAAGCTGTAAGAGTGAAGGCATATTGTGGTGCAGGACTGGCAGGGTCCCTTGCTGACAGCTCTGGTGGCCGTGGAGTTGCAGTGTGGCTGTGTATGCCACTGTTTCGCTCCTCCCACAGGTCCTAGGTCAGCACACTGTTGACTTCCTATAAGGAAAGTGAAGTCCCCCACCTCCTTGCCAAGACTCTGTGAAAGCCTGAATACTAGTAGATCAAGGTGTCCACACACACACACACACACACACACACACACACACACCCCACCTCCTCAACCATCTAGGCATAAGTTTAAGGAACACTGGAGGGAAGACAGAGTGTTAGAGGGAAAGAGAGCGTGAGAGGGAGAGACAATTCCCCTGAGACTTCAGCACACTCACTGGCACACAGGTCAGATGAAAGCTGTCACTGACCGAGCGCTAAAAGAGTATAGCTTTTGGCCTATGTCTACCTTCTCACATTCCTTTTGTAATAAAGAAGGGGAAAGAGCCAAGAAAAGAAAAAAATGGTTTCTGGAGGTATCACAATATCCGACTTCAAACCATACTACAGAGCCATAGCAATAAAAACAGCATGGCACCGGCACAAAAACAGATATGAAGACCAGTGGAACAGAATAGAGGACCCAGATATGAATCCACACAGCTATGCCCACCTTATTTTTGGCAAAGGCACCAAAAATATACCATGGAGAAAAGACAGCCTCTTCAACACATGTTGCTGGAAAAAGTGGTTATCTGCCTGCAGAAAACTAAAAGTAGATCTATGCCTGTCACCCTCTACTGGTATTGACTCAAAGTGGATTAAGGACCTTAATATCAGACCGGAAACTCTGAAGTTAGTACAAGAAAGAGCAGGAGATACTCTGGAAGCAATAGGTATAGGCAAAGAACTCCTCAGTAGAATTCCAGCAGCCCAGCAACTAAGAGAAAGTATGGACAAATGGGACTACATGAAATTAAAAAGCTCTACACAACAAAAGAAATGGTCTCTAAATTGAAGAGACCACCCACAGAGTGGGAGAAAATATTTGCTAGCTAGACATCTGACAAAGGACTGATAACCAGAATATACAGGGAGCTCAAAAAACTAAACTCCCCCAAAATCAATGAACCAATAAAGAAATGGGCAACTGAACTAAACAGAATTTTTCAAAGTAAGAAGTCCAAATGGCCAAAAAATGTTGGCATGAAAAAATGCTCACCATCTCTGGCCATAAAGGAAATGCAAATCAAAACCACACTAAGATTCCACTTCACTTCTGATAGAATAGCTATAATCAAGAACACGACCAACAATAAATGTTGGCAAGAATGTGGGGAAAAAGGAACCCTCATACACTGCTGCTGGGAATGTAAGCTAGTACAACCACTTTGGAAAACAATATGGAGGCTCCTTAAAAAACTAAACATAGATCTGCCATATGATCCAGCAATCCCACTCCTAGGGATATACCCGAAGGAATGCGACCCAGGTTATCCTAAAGGTACCTGCACACCCATGTTTATTGCAGCACTCTTCACAATAGCCAAGTTATGGAAACAGACAAGATGCCCCACTACTGATGAATGGATTAAGAAAATGTGGTATCTATACACAATGGAATTTTACTCAGCCACAAAGAATGAAATTTTGTCATTCTCAAGTAAATGAATGGAACTGGAGAACATCATCTTAAGTGAAGTTAGTCAGGCTCAGGAGGCCAAAAATTGCATATTCTCCCTAATATGTAGATTACAGACCTAAAACAAATACAGTAATATTATTGGACATGGGTCACACACTAAGGGGAGAACATGCACAGGAGAAGTAGGGAAAGAGAACCTAAAACTTGAATGTGGTTGATGTCCTCACTATAGAGGAGTGAATAAAGTAATCTTAAACTGGCAAAGGTCACTATGGGAAAGGGACCAGGAAGTAGTGAAGAGGTCTGGCAGAGATGAACCAATGTGGGTTGCAATACACAAGTGCATGGAAGCAATGCTAGGAATTGCTCTGTATAGCTATCTTCTTATACTTTCTCTTCAACAAAATCAGAGAACAAGAGGGCTGAAACAGGTTCTGCCTGGAAAGGCGGGCGGCGGGGGGAGAGGTTGGCCCAAATAATGTATACACATTTGAGTAAATGTAAAAACGATAAAATAAAATTAAAAAGAAAAATGGTTGCAGCAATGAAGGGGGAAGGACTGATTCTTTCCCCCCAGGGATTTTTAACACTGAACATAAAAACAACTGGTCTTCTAACACAAGGGTATAACATTTCATGCTAAAATGTGCACAGGTCAAATTTAACAGAGCTGGGGGCCAGCCAAGGGACAGGAAAGATCTCCTTGTAGTGGTTAAGAGAGGACTGACTTGTTACTTCAGCCACCATGGCATTCCCAACACGTCATCTCCAGCTTCCGTTTACCTACAAGCCCCTAACTTGAGGGCTAGGCCTCAAGTCTAAGCAGGGGTCCTAGAAATCTCTTTCCCCTAAACCCCCATCAGTTTTCCAGCTACTTCTCTGAGTGCTAAGGAGAGAAGGAGAAGTCCTCTTCCAGTTAAGCCCACCCATCACATAAAAGAAAGCATGCTCTCATTTCCAGTCACAAAAGCAAAGCAAAAATGCAGATAGGAAATTAACTTGCTTTTAAATAACCTGATGTGGTGGTGGTGGTGGTGGTGGTGGTGGTATGGGCGGGGGGGACCCTCAGAAACTAAACCTCTAATACCTGTAGCATTCTCAGTTTTCCCCGAGGCCCAGCTAAGGAAAGGATTGGGCTTTAGGGCTATGAAGTGAGGGCTGCCTGGGCAGTGACCACCTGCATATTTTGCCAAAATGTGGCTACAAGACAGTTTTATTCTCCCCCTACATGCTTCTGAGAACTAAGCTTCATTCTGTAAAACACAGATACACAAGACAGTGACCTGACAGCTCAGCAGAGGATGGACTGAGAGAACCACCCATAACCCTCTTCTCCAGAGCTACTGTGAGCAGCCAGTCACCACAGTGATAACATTTCAAGGTAAGGACCGCCACTCTGGGGGCTCCCTGAGCTCCTCAGGTTTCCCAAAGGCGCCACAGCAGCACATGGAGTTGCTGATCCCTAATGGCTCCAGACCTAGCATGCAATGGGCTGCAGCTACCAACTGCTCTGCACAGGGAAGCTGGGGGTAAAAAATTTAAGCCACTCAAAGCCACAGACAACCAAAGGCAAAGAAGGCAAAGTTATTGGGCAAAAACTTGCCTTTCTATAAAATCCAGCCTTGGTCTCACCTCTGGGAGGGTTGTCAAGTCCTACCCCATCATGTCTACTCCTCTAAGCTAAGAAAGAGCTCTGACCACTAGATCCCGACAAAGACACAAATCATTGTCCACTCTAGGCAGGCAAGCACCTGCAGCCTGTCTCTCAGGGACTCTGCAGGGGATTATCAGATAATATGTGTCAAGGAGCAAAAGCCAGGAATTAGGGGCCTAGGCTGAGTCTCTTCACAGTCCAGGCTAGGACATGGCCATGACTGGCCACACACACCCAGCAGTTGCCTTTCTGCAAAGTTCTCACCTATTATCCCAAACACCAGGAGAAGCTGGGCCTATAGGCATCAGTCCTCAAAATGTGCCTCTTCATGTTGGGGACAATTTTCTAAGTGGCCCAGGCCTATTAACTATATCCCAGACCACAGTTCACAGGTATACTTTCTTCACCCCATCTCAGCTTTGAGCCAATTTTCAGAATCAGAGTTCAAAAGAGAATGAGGACATCCTTGCTTGTGGATTGAAGCACCTTGTCATTTACTCATTCACCCACTAATCCACATGGGGCACTATTTCGTCAGGCTCAGTGCTTGGGGGTGGGGACAAGAAGATACATGCAGGACATAAGATCCTATTCTTGGAGAACTCCAAATCCAGAAGAAGAGAAGCAATCTGTTTTCTTTGCCATAGAGAAATATGCAGAATTGCAAGCGGCCCAAATAGTGAAACCATAGGCCTTGCTCTAAACAATACACAAGAAAGACTCCACAGGCACCATGTAAGACATTTACACTAAAGGTGACAATTAACACCAAGACTCTACCAGTCTCCTTAGATGTATCTCAGCCCCAAGAGACTACTGAGCATGCCAACAGTCCTCAAACCTGCTGCTATCAGACAACTAGATGAACTTGACCTTGGAGTGACTCTGAATTAAGGAGCTTCCCACGCGAGCATCACTTTGAATGCAACAAAGCCAGACCTGGGCTCTTGACGTCCACTTCAAGTGGCAGCTAAAGACATACAGGGTAATGGGTCTTACCATCCTTCCATGGGGTACAGATTAACTCTGACTTTGTCCTGGTGTCTACAACTTACTTTCTAGCGGCTTGATTAAAACACAGGAAGGTATACAGATGTAGGAAAAAAGCAAAGTCACAAATTATTTTTAAAATCACCTATGACTTTGTGATCTTGGTCAGTATGCATGGCCATGGCTTTCCAGGACCTTCTCTTAAGGAATGCGGAGAACTGGCAACAAAGATGACATCAAGATATAAGGCCCCCAGCTTCTTCTTACGGGAAGTGCTTTTGCCTGGGCCGATTAGAACTGCAGTTCCTCCCATCCCTGCCTCCTGAAGAGCTAGGATTACAGACACTGCCATACCTGGTCCCTCGTTAGCATTTTTAAGAACAGGAAGAAGCAAGTCAGGAAATAAGAGGCCGCACTTATACAATGTGGTGCACAGAACCTGCTCCAGAAAACCCCTTCCATTACCAGAGAAGTGTTCAGCAAAGATTCCGTCTCCAAGGATTTGCAGCCCCCGAGCAAGGAAGACAGCCACACCATTCCCCATTTTCACCGTACCCCTCATTTTCCCCAACTTGACTCGTGCCAGCTCCTTGCATTGCCGGAGTGGAGCAACACTTGAGCAGTGTTTCTGCAGCCAGTATGGCCTTTCCTGTCCAACAAATGGCACTTCTCACACAGGGGACTCTTTCTCTCCGGAATGAAGGCACCTCAGAGGCTTAAAACGACTATTTACAACACTAGGCGTGAGTATTAAAATCCAGACTTTCCTGCCAGGGTGACTGCTCTCCAGACACTGGAGGTGTGAACATGAAGCAAAACAAAATTTTAAACAAATATAATGGGGACAGAATTTCAGTTCTGCAAGAAGAAAAGCGTTGTGGAGATGGATGGTTGTTTGCACAACGTGATAAACGTGGCTAATGTGACTAAAGTATACACTCAGCATGGTTAATATGGTATATGTTATGCATATTTGCTGCAATAAAAAAATAATAAATTTTAAAAATTTAAACAAATAGACATGAGCTTATACAGAGGGGTAGTTTTCTTTAGACCCTATTGCATAAAATAACAAAATAAATCAGCCTAGCGGGCAAGATCTATCTGAATTCCTACATTTTGTAAAGGAAAACAATTTGCTGCCCTAAATAGTGATTCAGGCCTTAGGGACTAAAAGCTGAACAGGCTCTTTGAGAAAAGACCCCACTAAAACACCTCATAAAAAAGGGTAAAACTAAGCTAAAAGGGCCAGCAAGGGAAAATGCAGGTGTGACAGCCCTTTCTCTGTGAGTAATTACTGAAAGACTGAGAGGTGGCAGGAAGGAGTGGAGGGGAAGAGGGAAGGAGGGAGGGAAAAGGGGAGGAGGGGAAGGAGGAGTGCTAGACCTGTTAGGTCCTAAATATCAAGAACCCAGCATTGCTCTGACAAAACCCAAAGTGGAGGTGGCGACATGGGACTGGCTTTTTGTTTGTTCTTTGGGAATCCCTCAGGCTATCAAGCTTTCAGTCAATGATCCCAGAGAAACTTAGAAGGAAAGGGCTGGAGAGCCACCTCCCACCAGAGAGCACCTACATAAGCACCGATCACACCCATGGAGCACCACGAGGCACAGCATGGTGTGGAAAGGGCCCTGGCCAGCAAAGCAGGGGATAAGAAGGAACCTACCTGTTGGGTGGGTGTGTATTTAACTGTATGGGAGTAGTCATAATTATCAATGATATCCAAGTCCTTCACTGCATCCCCAGGAATGGGACTGCTGAACTGCACGTTGAGCGGGGCTTTCCCAGCACCCTTGGTGTAGACAGTGAAGTGGGTTGGCTTTCCATTTTCCACACCTGAAAGGATACCATGAAGTGGGGAGACAGGGTTGGCTGCAGAGGTTTCACTTTTAGAACCAGTCTGACAAGTTCAAAAATGCCACTCTACCAAGGCAGCCAGTGACATGGCAGGTCCATGGCTCATGCAGGCACACTGCTCCTGCCAAATCAGAGCTCTTGGTAGAGAGGAGTCCCTCCAGGTCTGGACCAAACACACCAGTGCCACCGACCCCAGAGGGCCCAGGATGGCCTCACCCCGTCATCTTACCTGCTCTGCTCAGCCCAGGTCCTTCTGCCTTTACTTTGCTGGCGTCGTGGGAAGGGTCGACTTTGACTCGGAAAGGGCTAGCGGGGATTTCCTGTAGCAGAAAACACTGTCTCAGAAGGAAAGCCCCTGAGAAAGTGCCAGAGTTTTAGCTTTCTGCCCAAACTTAAAGGGCAAATCTTGGCACAACACTTACTTTGGTGGGTGGAAAGCTAACTTGTCATTTCAGGTGAGATCTGCATATGCTAGTATCAGGTAGAGACCATGACAGTCACTCACTCATACCTGGAGCCCAAACAAATCCAAAGACTCTCAGCCTTTGACACCAAATATTGAGTACTGAGGATGGAAAACAAATGCTACCCAGAATAAAACCAAAACCAGAGCAATATATGGGGTCCTCCAGAGATAGCTGAAAGCTAAGAGGTGAGGACCAAAAGAAGTAATCAGAAAGAGAATGACTATGATTCTTCAAAAAAATGTTACAGACTATCAGAATAAAGGCACAATAGATTAACAATGATGTCAATTCATAAACCATTAACTTTAGACCCAAAATATTCTCCTGAGTTTCCTGTTTTTATGCAAAGTTAATTTTGATCATCAGGATTTCAAAATTCCCTGTTTCAGGGTACTGCCCACCCTATCATCACTATCACACACCTGACACTTCAAAATGCCTCTCCCTAAGAGAGTTTAAGGGCAGAGGCCAGAGCTATTGCTTCCAAGAGGTCAAAGTAGAATTTATGCTTATGTTTCAGTCAAAAACTTGATGAAAGTTTAAAATAAGTCAGTCTCTTTCCAGAGCTCTGCTTTTAACAATTAAATATACTGCCTCACTTCTGTTAAAAGTGGTGAAAATTTAATTCTAGGTGTTTTTCCTTCCTTCCTTCCTTCCTTCCTTCCTTCCTTCCCCTCCTTCCTTCCTTCTTTCCTTCCCTTCCCTCCCTTTCTTTCTTTCAGGGCCTTGAGCCACAAAACCAGCCCTTATTTTGTGATGGGTTTTTTTGAGATAGGGTACCTCAAACTATTTGCCACAGCTGGCTTTGAACCTCAATCCTCCTGATCTCTGCCTCCTGAGTAGCCAGGATTACAGGTGTGAGCCTCAAGCATGTGGCAACTTCTTACTTTTAAGGAACCAGAGAGACCTATTGAGCATAGTTCTCAAGATGCCTTCCCCATTGCTAACAATCCAAAAAGGGATATGCACACAGATAGCTAGACAGAAGCCTCTCTGTCCTTCCCCAGGCCCAACACACACCTGTGATGCAAAGAGAACTTTGATGGTGTATCGACCAGCGGCAGGAGGCACATATTTGACTGTGAAGGTGTCATTGGCGTTGTGAATGATGTCAAAATCCACGTCTTCTTCATCTTCACTTAACACCCGGGCATCACACTTAATGCCAACGCTGACATCACCTGGAAAGGACCAGCTTATTAGCACCACTCAACAAGAAACAGCATGTCCTGTGCAATCACTTCCATCTCAGGCTAACTAAAAACCCAAATGAGCACTAGGGAGGTTTCCAGTAAGAAACCTAAGAGAAAGGAAAGATGGCAAATCAAGGTTTTAGAAAAGGGATGGATGGAGGATTAGCAAAAATAACACCAAGGAACAAACACGAGGCTTATTAGGAGAACAATTACCTATCCAGATGGACTACTTTCTGGCCCAGGGTTCACTGCCCTCCAAACATTATGAAAAGAACTTTCTTTCTAAAGGAGCAATAATCACCGGAGAGAGTGAAGCTTGTTCTCACCTTCCCCAGCCTCGGTACAGTCCACTGTGAAGTGAGTGGGTTCGTTTGCCTTCAGACCACTTCTCTCAACACCTGGCCCAAACACTTTGACCTTCTGGGGATGGCTACCTTGCCCAATGTTAACCTAGAAAAGACATGAAGAGAATTATCAAATATTCCTCCTCTTGGGCCCAACAAAACATTGCAACAAATGGTCCTTTGGGGCAGTCTAGAGAACTCTGCCCTTTGGGCCATACAAAACCTTTCAAGGCCCTCCAAGAATGGGATCTTTCCATATATCCTCTACAGAGCCCAGGCCTGGCACAAGGTTGGGCTGTGTCATACAACCAGGATTCACCTCACAACTTACCCTGTAGGGGCTGTGTGGGATGTTCACACCACCCCAGACCACAGCAATGGTGTGTTTGATGGCCTTAACTGGGGTGTATGAGCAGGCATATGTGCCATCCATCCGGCTCTTCATCTGGATGTCAATGGGCTGCCCTTCCCCATCCTGCAAAAGAGACAGAACTAAGAATAGCAGTAGCCCTCACGTTACTTCTTCTAAACAGAGCCACGGTGGCCTCCTGGGAGCACCTGCTTATTTAATGAAACTTCAGGAAGCAGTGTGCCATGTTCTCACAATACGATGACAACAGGTATCAAAATATAACTTGCTTTTTTTTGAGCAAGGTCTCACTAGGCTGCCAAGGTTGGCATCGAATTTCTGGGTTCAATTGATCCTCCTGCTTTAGCCTCCCAAAACTGGGACTCTGAGTGCACACCACCACACCCAGCTCCATTTATTCATTTTAAATTATTAAGCCTAAGTCCCACACCCCCCACCCCAAAGCTTCAGTCATGCGATACTTCTTAATTTCAATTCCTGCACCTAAGTCATTCAGTCAATTTCAATTAAAATAGATAAATATATTTTGAAGTTTGTTTACAAACCTCCTATCTGGGCCTGAGTAAATCCGAGCACAACGAAAGAAATTACAGGTTGATATGAAAGAATCAAGCCTTCTTTCCACAGAATACAAATCACAAAGATCATGAAAAACATCCTGCTTTACAATAGTCTCATCTAATCCTCACGTAACTCCATGAGATTAATATTCTCATTATCCCCAATATGTGCTGAAGCAAACTGAGGACCAGATGCACTGTGCAACCTGCCACTCCACTTTCACTCTGACAAATTACCTGCCAGGTGGCCTTCAGAAATTTACCTGAGCAAATATCTTTAAGGGAGCTTTCCCAGCATCCTTAGGATCCACAGTGAACTCAGCGGGGTTGTTGACGATACACCCAGTTTTCTCCAAACCTGGCCCGTACGCTTGGACCTGGAGCAAAGGACCAATAATGATTCTCTTTCTGTGACAGCTCCCAAGTAAGCCCCTATATGAAGACTGGTCACCAAGGGAGGTAGGGGGTGTCGGGGGAAGGATGGTTCAAAATACCCTGTGACTAATTTTATCGTGTCCATCTAACAAGATGGTTATAGGAAGTAAAAGGCTGTGTCTTAAAAATAAATAGTATCATTAATCTCTCATGAAAGAGGAAACTCACTTAAAACCTGGCCCAGACTAACCCAGGCTCCCTGCCTTGTTCTGAGCTAACAGAAAGAACTAGGGCAGGACCTTCAGCCAGGCCCAATTTCAACACTTCCACTTTGAGGAGAGGCAGAAACTTTATTACAGACATCATTCCAAACATTTGCAGCCCCCGAGACAGCAAAAGACTAGCAGTGGGCCAAAGAAGGACAGCTACAAGTCTGAACTGATGTCAGCCCATGGACAGCTGCCTAAGTGGGCCAAAAGCAGCACACATTGAAGCAGGGGACCACCTCCTATTGGCCAGGCCGACTCAGACTTGATGCTTTTATCGGCTTGCTAAGGGCTTGAGAGGAAGTCCTTGGAAATACTGCTCTGATTTAAAAGAAGCAGAGCTGGGCAGGGAGTGGTGCATAGCAGAGAAAACCTTTATCTATGGGACATCTTGAAATAATAACTACAAAAAGTGGCAAGACTGAAATACACAAGAAAACAGCAGCTCTGAAGCCTAACACAGGTCAGTCACCATGCTAAAGACCATGACCTTTTAATTGTCCCATAAGCTCTAAGAAATAGATATTACTTACCATCCCCATTTTATGAAGAAGCCAAGAGTTAGAAAGGTAATAGTACTTGTCCAACATTATAAAAGTACTAGTAGGATTCAAATTCAGACCCATTTCCTTCCTAAGAAGTAGTTCCTCTTCACAATCCCTCTGAGTTGCTCATGGCAACTTAGGCCTGGGGGCGAGGGAGGGGGCTGTTGGGAGCTGGGGAAGAAGGGACAGAAATAGGACAGACTGTTCACCAGATCTGGGTTGTAGTCTCCGGAGGCAGGGTGGATGAAGGCCATAAAGGGGCTATCCTTGATGTCTTCATCATCACACATGATATGAACAGCATATTCTCCTGGTTCCTTGGGCCAATACTTGACATCACACGATCCATCATTTTGGTCGTCATAGTCGATCTTCGCCTGGGAAGGGCCTTCAATGGCAAACCCTGGAGGATGGGATGGAAGGACCTCTCTGGTTACATGGTGGGAAGGATCTACTCCATGTTACTACCAACTCATTCCTGTTGCCTCCTGGAAAGCCAAAAGCTGGCCAGAAATTTGAAATGTGCTTTTTGTCCCTTTTCCATAAAACCAAGGTCACTGGGTCTTCACTAAAGATGGAGGGCTTGGATTAGATACTTATGGATTTTATGTCATCTAAGGGGGGATGGAGACTAGCAAACCTTTCTGTTGGCAATACAGCAACATGGGCCAAAAGCCTTAAACTGACACCCAATCCCTGCCCCACCAAACCCATTTTTGGGCTTTTATTTGAAGGAAATGAATGAGGATACTGTTGCCATAGCAAGCATTGTTGTCATAGCAAAACCTTGGAGAGCCTTAGACATATCCATACAGTGGAATTCCATGGAAGCCATGGAAAATGAAGGTATACCCTCCATTTTTCAGAATATAAAGATAAAGAGTTCACCCAGAGCGTGCAAACCAACATTTGTACGTGTGTGTTCAGGGCAAAAACCAGGAAGGATAGGCCAAAAGGTTAAATACTACTTCCAGACTGGAAGGATATACCAAGAAGACAAAGATTTTCTAATGAGGAAAATTAAATGTGGTTTTTTTTTTTATTTTTAACTCTTCTGTTTATCGCTTTTACCTAAAAGCTAACTTATAGCTCAAGGGCTAAATCTGACTGCCTGTCTCATTTTGTAAATAAAGTTTTACTGAAACATGGCCACTACATATTTTCTGTGATTGTTTTCAGCCTACAATGGCAGAGTCCTACATAACAGAAACCACATGGCCCACACAGAGAAAATATTTGCTATCTGGACATTTATAGAAAAAGTTTGCTAGGGTTGGGGATTTAGCTCAGTGGAAGAGCGCTTGCCTGGCAAGTGCAAGGCCCTGAGTTCGGTCCCCAGCACTGAATTTGCTGATACAGGGGCGTGCCAGTAATTTCAGAACTTGGGAGGCTGAAGCAGGAAGATCAAAAGTTCAAGGTCAGCCTGGGCTACATTTAGTTAGACCCTGTCTGAAAAAAAAAGAAAGGAAGAAAGAGCAAGTTTGTTGATTCCTAATTCACAATGATCACGTTCTGTCAGATGTGTATTTAAAACTTACTCAATCATGCTCTAAAGAATATATTTAACATCCCAAACGTCAAGTTTCAACACAATTTATTCATTTGTTCATCTAAACTAAGGGTCAGTCAACAATATTTGTTAAGTACCTACATATTCCAAGCACTGTTTAGGCACAACACTCACAGAAGATCTCTGCCATCAAGGGCTAGTGAATGAATGAATGAATGCCGGTGCCAGAGGTAACAGGCAGGAAGGGAGGAGGAAAATGGGAACTATGATTCTACAACAGCACCCAGAAAGGCCTTGAGTGGTCAGAAGGCCTCAGTTATCCAGAAGCTACTGATCAGCTAGCTCTACTTACCCAGAGATCCGACTTCAGAGCCAATGGACTCCACCACAAAGTCTGCTGACCGTCCAACGATCCCACCATGGAGACCAGGGCCCCAAGCACGGACTTTCTGCATGCCTGCTTCAGGGCCAATTTGAACTTCAAAAGGACTAGAACGAAGGGAATGGAAGAAGCATCAAAGAAGAGCAAACAAACAGCTGACTACAACTATGAACTAGTAACAAATATTCTTTCCATTTGCCTGATCCTTTCACCAGGAGTCCCAAACACTAGGTAAGCCCTTCCTCCAAACAGGCACTCTCACAGCCATTGTTAGGTCATCAATATAATGTAATGTGGCTGCCTCAGAAGCGGAGGATACTGGGTTGGTACTCAAGCCATACTGCCTTGTGCTATTCTGCTGGCCAGTGACCTTTTGTGTGTAGGGCCCTCTGGACTGTGAGCTCAGGAGATAAGAACATCCACATGTCTCTACGTCCTACCTATGCAGTTAACAAGAAAACTAGATTGGATAGATTTTATCTCACAGGCGAATCAATGTGCTTTAACTTTAGTATGGGACGTTTAAAATAAATGTGCCTGGATTCTGGGAACCTTGTATAGTAGTCTCCCCTTATCTTCAGTTTTTGTTCTTTAAAAGTTTCATCGCATACAGTGAAAAGATCGACATAGCCCAGTGCTTCAACAAGATCTAAGTCACCATCTTCACTTTATTTCATCATCTCATGGCATGACCAAAAGGTGAGTAGAGTACAATATTTTCAGAAAGACTATATTCACATAACTTTTATTCTAGTATGCTGTTATAACTGTTCAATTTTATTATCAGTTATTGTTGTTAATCTCTCATTATGTCTATTTCATGAATTAAATTTTTCCTGGTTATAACCTTATAGTGTATATAAGGTTTGGCACTGTCTGTGGATCCAGCCATCCACTGGGGTCTTAGAATGTATACCTCATTCTAAGGTGCTAAGAGAAGACGGCTATAATAATGCCCAAATATTTCTCAAGGCAAACATGTATTTGTAAATGTATTCAGAGGCTAAAGCTGTCCCCTGGAGAGCTTAAAAAAACACATGAGCACAGGGAGGAAACTGCAGTGCCCTAGGCAAAGCTGCCCACGGTGTCCCTTGGCCCTGACGGCACCCACAGAGATGGTTTTAATGTAAACCACAGCAGATTGTGCCCTCGAAGCATTTGTGAACAGAGGCATTCATTGAAAAAAAGAGAACTTGGGTTTATATAAGGGAGGAGAGACACATAGTCCATTTGCTCTCTATTACTGCTCCTTCTACTTCCCTGCCTCCCACCAGGTCCAAACCACCAGTATTTGATTTAAAGCAAGGCAGCTGAAACCACAGCTGCTTTTGAGAACAGGCCAAAATGTCTATGTGCTGCTCAGGGGGAGAAAAAAAAAAGCTTTCAACAATGCAGATCTCTTTCCCTCCTGTGTAGCAAGGGAAGCAGTGGCTTGTGAGCCTGCCACCGGCCAAGCATGCCTCCAGAGCATCTCCAGCCTGAAACTTACCTCTTGGGAATGTGGTGTCCCCCCCATGTGACAGCAACACTGTATTTCCCTGGGGTGCTGGGGTAATACTCGAATGCATAGACTCCATCCGCGAAGCCTTTCTGCTTCACCAGCTCCTCCAGGCCCTCTGTGGGAAGGAAGTACAGTGCAAACCTAGGTTCACAATGAAAACCAAGAAGGCAAGAACAGAAAGGCAGCAATATCACAGCACATCAGCCACCTAAGAAAACTAAGCAGGTTGCCCCAGAGTGTCATGATCCCCCAAATCTGGGAATGGACTCCAAAGTCAAAAGCAAACCTAGCTCTACTTCCAAGTGTGAGAATGGAAGATTTCCCAGCTAAATGGCTTTAAAAAGCTCAGCTATGAGAGGCCTGGAGGTCCTGAACCAAATGGATCTGCCTAAAGATAAATCCAATTACATCTCACTATGTCCCAACAATTACAGCCACCCTACTCAGCCCCTCACAAATGAGGGAGGGAGGGAACCTTCGAGTATTTGGTTAGAGTGTCCAGCATATCTTTTTCTGCCAAGGCCAGTCAACAAAAGCAAGAAAGCTTGTTGTATCTATGAGAGGGCGGGTTTCAGATGCTACACCGCAAACTCCAGACTCAGCCATCAGGCAGAAACTTGTTTTATGTTGAGCCCTGAGGTTTGGCCAGGAAAGCTGTTGAGTCAAGCAAGTCTCCCAAGGTCAGGGGAAAAAAAAAAAACAAAAAAGCCTCCTTGGCTCCTGTTGCAACAAGCTGGGTAGGGGAGCAGCCCCAGAGAAACTTGGCTCCAGTTCTGGGCAGTCTAGAACCTTGGCTGCCCTCAGGGCCCAGTCTTCCCCAAAGCTTGCTGCTCTGAATCTTTTCTGGAGCTCAGAACCCTCCTGCTCCCATCTGAAGGCAATAGAGAGGGCATGAATAACCTTGGTACAGGAAGGTCAGGATGCCACAAACCATGGAACTAAAACCACCATGTGCCATTACCCCTGCAACTAGAAATGCTGAGTTGCTTCTCTGTCCCAGGGAAAAACCTGAGAAACAGGGAAGATGCCTTTGCCCATGTCTGTGTCTCCTTCCTCAAAACAGAGTGGGAATGGGCTATGGAGTAGAATCCACCCTCTGCAAATTGTATTTACCTATTAAGAAAGCTTCATCATAAGGAATTTTATTCTCCTTCTATAAGCACCGATCATAGAATGCAGTAATTGACATAATTTCATAGTCCATGAAACATAACAGGTTCTGGGGAAACCACTATCTTTGAACACCGGGCTTGAATTCTAGCTCAGAAGACTACAAGCTGTGTGACCCTAGGCAAGAACCTTCCACTCTGAGTCTAGGTCTCCTTGAATAAAAAAATGGACCACTTCTAGATATTCCAACAGCAGCATTTCCCCAACTCCCTGACATCATTGTTTTCTACTCCCAGAGGTCTTAACATAAAGTAAAGCTGTAAAGCCACCCACTGATCTCACCTACATCCAGGACAGACATTATTTAACAATCATGACTCCCTGCCTAGGGGGAGCCCAGATAGCCTCAAATCTTAGTCATAGTTCTCAGGGATAAATTAACCACACAGGCGATGGGATGAAATCCAATGCACGGCTGAAAAGTCAACCAAAATCACATGTGAGATGGGAAAAAAAGGAGCACTCACTAGGACCCTTCACGGTCACACCGAGCTCCCCACTTCCAGCAGCTTTGGTGTCCACCTTGAAGTCTGCAGTCTCCCGGATCCGGACACCTTTGGGCTGCAGGCCACGGCCACTGGCCCGGCAGGCATTTGGATTGCAGGCTGCAAGCACAATTTTGACATCCATTTAACCTTGCAATCTTTAGTCAGAGACAGGAAACCCAAGGTAGCTTGGAGCCACTTGCCAAGGGAATGTTTACTTTGCACAGTAGGCAGAGTCCACGGGTCCCACTCAGGGACACACCAGCTAGCAAAGATGGACATAACATGACTTTGTCCAGCCACACCACAGAAGGATTGGGTAAAAGTTACTTTGGCAATGAAAACGGGAGAGTTCAGGAAGTCACACTATGCTCCTGGTACCATGTCAGAGAGGAGTTAAGACTGAGTGCTGGATACTATTCAAACCTCACTGCCGTCCTCCAGGGCCCAGTCACTGGGAAGACTACACTGTTTCACGTCCACCTGGAGAATGCAGGGCTTGAAAATGACTGTCTGGATTCCAGACCCTGGGTCAGCCATTTCTAAAGATCTAAACATTTTCTTCCACGTGAAAAGCCAGGCAAAATAACACAGGTCTCCAAAAGTGACACGTTCAGCCCCCTTGTCTGGGCAGCTGCAAAAACCAAGCAACAGCAACAAATGGCATTCCTGACTGGATTTCTGGATCTTATTTAAAAACCTAAAGTCTTAAGTCTAAAAGTTAAGGATCACAGAAGTTTCTACTAGTCTTTACATGAGAGGTCCACAAAATAACTCTTCCGTGAGGCTTAGTCAGAGGTTGAGAAAACACACCTTTGTGCCTTACGAATTCTTTGCTCAGCATGGGCAACCTTATCATTAAGCAAAAACGGGAAATTAATGGGCAAAAGGTCCTGCTGTCTACGAAGTGACATTTTTCCCAAATGTCATCCTGCACATTTGACAGCTCTTCTATCCACAAGAGGTCACAGGTTCCAGAAGGAGCTGCATAGAAGAAAGGTAATTCTTCTTCAGGCTCCTCCTCCTGCCTATGTCCTAAACTGGTTATGAGACATACAACTGCCTCCCAAAGAGGCACTCGAACACCTTTAGAGGCAAAGGTAATTTTAGATGGTCCATGGGTGAACATAAGTTTATGGTGGCATAAACTTGATGGCAATTGGCATTTGTTCTGCAAGGTGAAAAAGATATAAAGCTTCTTTTCACACAAAATCATATTGTTGGGTCCTCTACACTGCATAGTGTGAGTGACTGACAGGATGAACATGCCAAAATGAAAAGGGAAGTCCATGAATGAGAGCAGACTGGGAACACCAGTAGAAGAAAGTTGTTCCAAATTCTCTCTTTTCTTATATCAAAAATAATTTTGCTTAGGACAATGTTTGGGGGGGGCATTGTTTGTTTTTCTTTGTCAAAAGGAGAAAAGTTGGTCACCATAGAAGTCACAACAGGAAGACAGGACATCCTCAGAGAGCTTAAATGTGTCTTGAAACACATACACACACTCAAGGAAATTCTGAATAGGTGCAGCTATCTCAACATCAAAAGGGTAACTGCTCAGGTGACATAAACATTCAGCAGAGCTGGAGAGTTTGGAGGAACCTGCCAGAACTTCAGCCATCTTGAGAAGCCTCAGATAAGTCTGAGTGCAACTAGAGAGTAAATTTGGGGCCTGGCTGCACAAGCTGTAATCACACCTGCACAGGAATTTCCTGAAGTCACAAACAACACAAAGAACTGGCAAAGACACCCCACTCAACCAGCCCTTACCAAGCAGGAGCCTCTGGCCCAGTGCTCCATAACTAGGACGCCAACAGCTTTGGGGTCCAGGCTGGCCCAGAAGCAGGATTCAGAAGAGGAAGCCAAGTCAGCAGATGGAGATGCGGAGAACAGAACAGGGAAAGGCAAGCACCGGTTAGAAAAAGCAGCATAGTTGGAAAACAAACAAAAGAGCAACAAAGTCAGAGGAAAGTCTAACATAAAGGAGGGTGTGTGCTCCTCATGGAGGAGGGAGTTTAGTAGAGTGGTTAAGGCCAGTTAGCAGAGACTGAAGTTCTACTCTCACTGATACCTCAGCATATGATTCCTTACATTACCCAAGTCCCAGTGACTCCACCTGCAAACTGGGTGCAGTAACAGCACGACACTCATGCTGATGCCACAACTAGATGCAGTCATGCAGCAAAGGCCAACCTCAGTCACAGATGCCAACACACCTGTTGTAAACACACACATGTGTTTGAAGGAGAGGACCCATTAATGACTCATAAAAGACAAAGTATCCCTTATCCAAAATGCTTGGGACCAGAAGTGTTTCAAGTTTCAGATTACTTATTCTCTGAGTATTTGCATAGACTTCACTGGTTGACCATCCCTAGTCTGAAAACCCAAAATCTGAAATGCTCCAAAATCTACAACTGTTTAAGCATCATGGCATTGCTCAAAATAAAATCTTGGATTTTAAAGAATTTCAGATTTTCAATTAGGGATACTCAACCTGTGCTGTAGATTAGATCTAAAATTTCCCCCAAAGGCCCACATGTAAAAGGCCCATGTGCTAGCTTTTGGGCACTATTGGAAGGTGATAGGACCTTTAAGAGTTGGGGCCTGGTGGAAGGAAGTTAGGTCACTAGGGGCATGGTCTTGTAGGGAATACTGGGATCCTTCCTGACTCTTTGCTTTCCAGCTGCCATGAGTTAAGATGTTCCTCTGACACACACTCCCACCATCGGCCTCCTAATCTCAGGCCTATAGGCAATGGGACTAAATAATCATAGACTGAGACCTCTGAAACCAATATTTTGTCACAGTGAAGAAAGCAGATACACACAACCATTATTACTATTAGTATTGAGGAAAAGTAAACCACCTACTACTGAGGGGGCATTGGCAGAAAGGGGATGGCGCAAGGTCAGTGTTGAACTCCAACTCAGTACTTGACCTCAGTGCCCAGCCACAGTCAGTCTTCATTCCATAACCAGATGGATTTGCCTGCCAGGCACTCACCTTCCCAACCTGCACAACAAAGGGACTCTTGGGAATGGTGTCCCCGGCAAAGAAGACCTTGACCACGTGGGGGCCAGGCTGCACTGGTTTGTACACGCATCGATACACCTGGTTTCCTTTGTCTTCTACCAGCAGCTCCACGGTGTTCTTGCCCTGGGGATCTTCCACCTCCACGCTAACATCACCAACGCCAGCTCCTGTGAAAAGTCGAGCACTGCCTGAGTTTGCCTTCCCCTCTCAGAAAACTCACTGCTGACCAGCACAGTGTGCAAGTAGATGGGGCCAGAGAGGCACTTGGGAAGGTCATCTTTGGGTGGCGGGGGTTATCGTTGACCATTTCTTTCTTCATATTTTCTAGATTTTCTCCATTGAAAAGAAAGCTAAATATACATTTTTAAATGTCTTATTCAGTCCTCACAGTATCTTGCATAGAACTCAGTCTAGTACATACCTATAAAACTTAGTTCCCCTGGGAAATTTAGTGAAGTCAGAAATGTGTACAGAAACTGATTATTAATCAGAGTCAAGCCTGAGTCTGAAGATTTTTGAAATTTTGCTGGTTTGGAAAAATGTAAAAGTACAACTAACACGTGAAAAAGTTACTTTTGTTGTTTAAGCAAAAAAAAAAAAAAAAAATTTTTTTTTTTTGTGAGACTGGGGTTTGAACTCAGGGCTTCAGGCATGCAAAGCAGATGAGATGCTCTATCACTTAAACCACACCTCCAGCCTATTTTGTTCAGGTTATTTTGGAGATGAGGTCTCAAGAATTACGTGCCCAGGCTAGCCTTGAATCTCAATCCTCCCAATCTCAGCCTCCCAATTAGCTAGGATTACAGGCATGAGCCACCAGTGTTAGGCAGTTTAAGCAAATTTAAAAGCCAAGAGTTTTAAATCCCAAGCCTTCAAGTTCCTGAGGATTAGATTTTCAGTCCTTACAAGAGAGCCGAAGACACAAGTCATGGAGAGAGGCACATTACCGGCAGTGTAGATGTCAAAGTAGGTGGGCTTATTGGCGATGTTCCCTGCAGCCTCCAACCCTGGGCCTTTGGCCGTGACTTTGCTGGCATCTCCCTGGGCCTTGTCAATGTTCACTTCAAATGGGCTCTTGGAGATGTGCTGCCCTGCAAAGAGGACTATGACCTGCAGGTGACAGGAGAGCTGTAAGTGTTTCTCTGTGCCCACCAAGACCACTGCCAAGTGGGCTTTACACACAAAGATGGCTACAAGCAGAGGTCCTGGTACCAAGCAAAGCAGAAGAAAGAGGATTCCCGCCTGGCTCCATCAGCCACGCGGCTGCGCCTGGGACATCATTACGACTTAGCCAACTGAAAATGCTTACATCAGACATACTGGGCCTTCCTAGCAGGAAAGGAACAAACCACTTACATTTGGACTATGGAAGGGGCCACGGCCCTCTCAGACCGAAGATTTTAAATCCAGAGTCTAAGTGTTTTGCAAGAGACCGAGATGACTCTTAGATACATGGATTTGAGACAAATCACAATGATTTCCATCTACAACTTGAAGTACAGCTCTCAGAATTTTTCAAGGGCAGTGGGTTGGGCTTCATGTGAACCCATACTTGGTTGCATCATAAATGTTCCTTTTTGAGATTTTTTTTCAAATTTAAAATGGTCCAAGAGTATAAAAACGAAGGCCATGGCTCCAAGTGAATTCACAAAAGCCCACAGCAGTGAGTAGAGTCTGTGTCTCAAAGTCTGGGCACGGTACAAGGGAACTGGCCTTTGTGTGCCATACAGGACCTTCTTCCAATACAGGGCGAACTTCTGGGCCACCCACTTCCTGCAGCCCAGGTTCTCTTCACCCCTCCCCTATAGGCTACCTGGACACCACCTCAAAAGAATTTAATATGACACAGAGATGAAGGGCCTGGGGTTTGATCGCTGTCACCTCCCAGATACTTTGTGAGTCACTTCCTCCACTACAGTTAGCTGGGCTCCTTTATCCTTGGCTTCAAAGCTTCAGACCACCTCAAAGGAGAATACTTAAGGAAGTATTAAGGACAGAGACCACAGTGTGGTCACGACAGCATCTACACTCCAGGCCTATAGCTGTACCACCAGGTGCCCATACGGAGTTAGAAAATCTTATGACATTACTAAGAACCTCCCTGTGGAATTTAGCCAATGGAGATGCGTTAGCTCATGTCTCAAGTTCAATTCATAGGGATTCCAAACCTTCTCAAGAGCATGGATACTTCAGTAATCAGAAAACCACTCTTGGGACTGGAGGAGTAACTCAGGTGTAGCACTTTCCTAATGTGTGAGAGGTCCCGGGTGTTCAATCCCAGCACTGCAAAATGACAACCACCACCACCAAGACCATTCTTCTTCTACAGTTATCAAAGCAAGCCCAAAAAGCACAGTTACAATGCCTCATCTTACTTTATGCAGTCCGGTGACCTTGGGCAGATACTCCACAGAGTACGTCTTATTCTTGTCACTGTCAGGAGTCACTTGTGCCTAGGAAAGAGGATGAGAAGTGGTTAAGAGAAGGCCACCAGGTGTGAGTCAAGAGCATGCAGTGTCAGCTGAGGGTCTTGCAACAGGCTGCCAGGTCAGGAACCCTGGTGGTGCTGGCTGCTTCCTGTCCTCCCACTCCTGTGGTGAATACCAGGAGAGAAGCAGCCTGAAGCTGGAGCCACACAATACCACAGCACAAGCAAGGACTCTTCGCTGTCTCGGGGCTGGCCCTCTCTGGATGAGCGAGAACAGGAAGCAGGTAACCTAAACCTTCACTGGCTCAGTAGTTATTAAGAGCTTATGAAATGCCAGACCCAGTGTTAGGCAACAAAAATAAAATAATGAGCAACTTGGGCACAATCCCTGCCCCAAAGGGGAAAACAGACAGTAAAGTTAAAATTTCAGCGTGCTGCATGCTAGGGATAAAATATGGTCTTAAGAAAGCGAATGAACAGTTAATTAAGAATAGCAAATGCAAAGGCTCAGAGGAAGGACTACAGAATGGTCACTGTAAGAAAAGACTAGGGCAACCATCACCACTATCTAAAACCTCAACCGACAGGCTTTCGCTAAATCCAGGGTATCCTTTATTTTATTAAACAGTAAGTCTTTGGGAATCAATTTATATTATATTCAAGGCACAGTGCTTGGGAGGAAAGTTCCTTTAACTTCCCTAAGCCTCAGGGTCAGTTGTGAGCTATAATGAGGAAAATTGAGGTACAGTCCCTGGTCCTGTTACAGGGACCCAAAAGCTCCAGGACATTTGGAACAGGAGAGGAGAAAAGCATCCTCAACGTACCTCTTCTTTGTTCCCTTCTGGGTCCTCGACAAACACCATCACGTCTCCTTGCCCAGCACTGATGGTGTCCACAGTGAACTTGGCTGGCTGCTTCACCATGTTTCCCATGGGCTCAATTCCTGTCGTGAGCACACAGCCCGTTACAAGCTGCACCAGGCCCTGGCACAAACCACCACCCACCATGCCTCTTTCAGGGAACTGAGAGACAGGACCCAGCCCTGTGGGAGACAGGGACAGATGGCCATGGTGGGGATAACCCAAAGCCTTAATTGTGTCTGTGTTATTTAAGCAATGCCCAATTCTGAACTCTTATTGCAGACTCAGACAGAAGCCCACACAATGGTGAAAAAGAAAGTGGTTGGTGATTAGTGGCAGCCTTGTCTTGATGGAAGCAACATGGGAGGAGAGAGACAGTTCATTTTTCATTAAACACCATTCTAGTTTTTAAAACTGCATTCAGTGCTGGCAGAGTGGTTCAAGTGGTAGAGCACCTGCCTAGCAAGTGTGAGGTCCTGAGTTCAAACTCTTAATACCACCAAAAAACAAAAGAAACTAAATATTACTTTCAATTATCATTTTTTTCAATTACACTTTTTAAGTGTAATTTTTATTTTAAGATAACTGAGAAGATTAATGTGACAGAGTCACATGCAGGTGTAAAAAATAATACCCATCACCCAGTGTCCCCAGTAGTCACATGGTGTGACTATATATAGTACAATATTGCAGCCAGGGTACCCACACTGACTCAGTGAAGACACAGAACATTCCATCCCCACAGGGATCCCTCACACTGCCCTCAAGAGCCTCTCTCACTTCCCTCCACACCACCCTCTTCTCAACACTGACAACCACTAATCTGTTCTCCAAATCTGTCATTTTACCATCTCAAGAATGCCACCTACATGGAATCACATGTTATACAACCTGATGGGATCAGCCTTTCCCACTAAAAATTCTCTGACATTTCATTCGGGATGCTGCCTGCACCAATACGTTACTTTTCAGAGGTCAATAATAGTCAATGGTATGAAATTATCTGATCATTCTCCCAGGGAAGGACATATGGGCTGTGCTCACTGGCCTATTACTTATAAAGGTGTTATAAACAGCCACATGTTTTGTGAGACTATAAGTGAGCAAAAATAGTTCTTTAAAATTATATGTATAAACATACATACATGTACATGTGTGTGTATATATATGTATACACACACACACACACACACATACACACACACACACAGAGGTGTACTCATACAGTTTGGCAACCAGAAGAGAAGTATTGAGAATAGAAGTAGGAACACGCACAGGAAATTAATGTGAGTCAACTCCATGTATAGCTATCCTTATCTCAACCAGCAAAAACCCTTGGTCCTTCCTATTATTGCTTATACTCTCTCTACAACAAAATTAGAAATAAGGGCAAAATAGTTTCTGCTGGGTATTGAGGGGGTGGGGGGGAGAGGGAGGGGGCGGAGTGGGGGGTAAGGGAGGGGGTGGGGACAGGGGGGAGAAATGACCCAAGCCTTGTATGCACATATGAATAATAAAACAATAAAAAAAAAAAAGAGAGAGAATAGAAGTAGAAGAAATGAGAAATGGCTCTTCCCTAAAGGACGGTGACTGAGAGAAGACAAATGGGTTTTCCTATATAACAAACTTTCGTACCTCTGGGATAAACACCAAAGAATAGAGCTGATGGGTGTCTGATAGTTACACATTCAGTTTTTGTTTTGTTTTATTTTTAATGAACTGCTGAACTGGGGACTGGGTGCATTAGTACAATTCTGCAACCCCAGCTATGTGTGACACATAGACTGGAGGATCGTGGTCTGAGGCTGGCCTGGGCAAAACCACAAGACCCTATTGGAAAAATAACTAAAGCAAAAAAGGGGCTAACAGCATGGCTCAAGTGTTACAATGCCCGCCTAGCAACCACGAGGCCCTGAGTTCAACCTCCAGCGCTCCCCACCAAAAGAAAGATGATGTCAGGGTGGCCTGCAGGACAGGGGCTAAGAAAGCCTGGCTGCAGGAGAAAGGGTGACGCAGTCTTGCGCCTGTCACTAGAAGAAAGCCCCCGATGGCACCAGGTTGAGCAGGAGCGGAAAGAGCAGCCATCTCGGTCTTGACCCTGATCCAAGGGGAGCACATTCGGTCTTTCATCATCACTGTGATGCCAGCTGTTGGCTTCTCTGCATTAAATTGAGGAAGTTCACCCTCTATTCCTCTTTTCTCAGTCCTTATCATGGATGGCTGTTAAATTTTGTCAGTTGCTTTTCAGGCATCAAGTGGTATGATCACATAATTTTTCTGTATCAGCCTGTTGCTGTAATATAGGAGATCATGTTAGCAGATTTTCTAATAGTGAACTAGGCTTACATTGTAGGAAGAAACTAGCCCATGATATATAATACATTTTACATATTGCTAAATGATATATGCTACTATTTGCTGATGGACTTTTACATCTATACACTCCAAGACATTGGTCTGCGGTTTATTTTTTTAATCTTGTTTTTGGTGGTGTTGTAAGTTTCATAAAATGAGTTAGTGTTCTTTCCCCATATTATCTGGAAGAGAATGTGTTAAAGTTGGTTTGAATTCTCCTCTAAATGTTTTGTAGAATTCTCCAGTGAGCGGGCACTGGTGATTCACGCCTGCAATCCTAGCTACTAAGGAGGCAGAGATCAGGAGGATCGAGGTTCAAAGCCAGTCCAGACAAATAGTTCGTGAGACCCTGTCTTGAAAAAGCCCATCACAAAAAAGGGAGTAGCTCAAGGTATAGACCCTGAGTTCAAGCCCCAATGAAACCATCTGAGCCTAGAGGTTTCTTTTTCAGGAGCTTTTAAATTTTACAAATTAAAATAGTAAATGGTTATATAGGATCATTCAGGATACCTACTTCAGTCTGGATGAACACTGATAGTTTCTGGGTTTTTAGTGAAGTTACTGTAGCCAGCCATATTTTTCGCTTACCATGTTCTTTCTTCTGATTTCGTCTCTTATTTAGTTTCCTTCCTATTCCAAGACTTTTAGAAGGCCATCTTTTTAGCAAAGAACTGCAGGTGACAAATTCTTTTAGTTGCACTTTGTCTGAAAATGTAGTGATTTTTCCTTCATTCCCAGAGGGTATTTTCCCTGGATATAGGATTCTGCACTTGAAAAATGGTGTGCCACTTTTTTCTGGCCTGTATAGTTTTAGAGAAACCTTTCGTTCCAACTATTTTTCCCCTTTGGCTAGGTCATCAGTTCTCCTTTCCTGCTTTTAAACTTATATGGTCTTTAGTTTGTCTAAGATGTATCTTTTGGGGGGTTGTTTTATTTATTCTGTTTGGAGTTCACTTGGTTTCTTGAGTCTATAGGTTTATGTCTTTCTCCAAATTTAAGTCTTCAGACAACTATTGTTTCTTCAAGTAGTTTCTACCTTCTTTTTACTTTCCTTCTGGGTCTCTGTTAACATGAACATTAGGTGTTTTGTTATAGTGTTCACAAGTCCATGACGCTGTTTTTTTTTTTTTTTCTTTCAGTCTGCTTTCTCTCACTCAGACTGGGTCAGACTGGGTAATTTCTATTGTTCCATATTCCAGTTCACTGACTTTTCTGTCCTGATTTCATTCTGCTATTGAGCATATCTGATGAGTTTTTACTTCATTTATTACACTTTTCAGTTCTAAAATTTCCAACTGGCTATTCTTTATGTCCTCTATTTCTTTATTGGGACATTCTATTTATTTACTAAAATTGTTCACTTTCTTATATGCTTCAGGAGTGTTTGTAATTGCTTGTTTAAACTTTTTGATAAAAATGGCCACTTTAAAATCTTTGCCAGAAAATAAATAAATAAATAAATAAAATGTCAGAGAACTCTGACATCCCTAATATCATCTCAATGTTGGCATCAACTGTCTTTTTCACTTGGTTTGCGATTTTCCTGGTTCTTGGTGATTTTCTTTAAGTGAAATCTGGATATTCATGGAGTTTTATTTTATGAGTCTCTGGATCTTATGCAAACTTTCTGTCTTAACTGGTTTTTTATGATGACACTCCAACAGAGGAAGGGAGGTTTTGCACCTTGTAGCTGCCAGTGAGGGAAGATATCCAGGGTCCAGGATCCCAACTCAACTTCTACTGATACTCGAGGCAGAGGTGTTAGTAAGAGTTCTCGCTCCCCCCAGTCCTGCACTAGTGGCTGGAGGGGTAGGGATGCCTCTTTACTGCTCCTTGGCTGACCTGTAGTGACATCATCACCTCCGGACCACCAGGACTAAGTCAAAGTCTTGGCTCCCCATTTGCTCTTTCCCTGTAAATGCAGGGAAGGGCACAGGCTTTTTTTCTGTGGTGTTTGGCTGGAGTAAAGCAGCTATTGTCTAAAAGCATTCTCCCTTGCTAAAGACAGCAGACACTTGTTGGGACATTTTGTATTTCAGCCCATTGGTATTATTCGGGTTGTCCCTTCTTCACCCCCAAGTCTGGAGAATACAAGGCAAAATAAAAGCCAAGGAATTCACTACTGTGTCATTCTTTGGGTCCCAAGTCCTTAGCTGGCCTGCCTTGTTTACTTTCAGAGTCTCCTTAGCTTGCCTTAATATACTACCCAGGGATTTTAGTGGCATTAGGAAGGAAGAACTAAAAAAATCATTCCTCGCCATCTATGCAGAAATACTTCAAGTATTTCTTTTTTGAAGAAGCTTTTTATTATGCAGAATCCCAAACCTACATAGATGTAGAGAACACTGTCCAGTGAATTCTGTACCTATTACCCATCTCAACAACTATCAGCTCAACTATCCACCTTCACTCTGCCCTCTTCCCTTCTGTGTCATTTTAGCATAAATCCTAGACCTTATTTTTTTTCATCTAGAAACATTAACCATGTTGTTAAAAGACATTTTAAGTAAATGCTCGATATTAATATCATATCTAAAGAATTAACAATAAATTATTAATATCTTTATATATTCAATTAGTGTTTAGGTTTCCAAAATTATGAATTTCATGAATTTTTCTAATAGTCAGTCTGGAACAGGATCCAAACAAGGATCATGTATTACAACTGGTTACAAAATCCCTTAAGTTTCACTAAATCTCTTAATATCAGGGCTGGAAGCATAGCTGATGTGATAGAGCACCTGCCTAGCAAGCAGGAGGCCCTGAGTTCAAACTCCAGTACTGCCAAGAAAAGAAAAAAGTCTCTTACTATCTCTCCATCTCTTTCCTTATTGTTGATCTGTTAAAGACAGTGGGTCATTCATTAGTATACTCTGAATAAATTTCCAATACTGTTAGGTGAGAAACTCAAAGTAGAGAAAATGAACAATTTGAACTCATTTCAGCATAGAAAAAAAGCTAGAAAGAAAATGGCTCAGACTTTGAAGGAAGGAAAGGGATTGGCAACTGGGAAGCAGAGATTCAGTTTTTGTTCTTCACATTTCTCCTTTGCTTAATATCTACATAATGATCAGGTCATTTTACTAGATTTAAATGTGCACCTACAACATTGACAAACACCCACTCCTTATGACTCCAGCAGCCTGAGAAACAACTTACTCTGCAGCCTGTCAAAAGCTCGGTTGGGCTTGTGTCCCCTGGCTAACCACAGCTGGTTAGGAGGCTGAACCACATGGCCACACTCTGTAAACTCCCACAGAGCTATGTTTTGTTCACCATGCAGGGACACAGCTGATTTCTTTGCTTACTCAGACTGAGGGAGCTTACAGCTTGCTAAGCAGTCAGTGCTTCCTACAGAACATAGGTTTTGGAAAAGGTTTCTGCTTAGCTCATGGATGGAAGCTTTCAACAAATCTAATCCTGCAAGACAGCCACCACAAAGATCTGCAGGTGACTGTAGGTTCTCGTCACCCCAGCCCTCTCTCCTTTCAACCCACTCAACCCAAACAAGTCAGGGCTCAGTGAACGGATTGCAAGTACTAACTGGCAGGTGACAGGACTCTACTCAACATCCAAAAGACAATGCAACAACCATCTGAGAAACTGGATGGAATATTCTCTATTCCTGGGTTTGAGCAGCTGAATCAAAGCAATGTGGTGACATAAAAGAGAGGAAACTGGCCCTGGCTTTCATCTTACCATGGGGACAGGGATGATGTCTTGTAGCCCCCACCCTCATGTTGTGGCCTCATGAGGCCTTGTCACCCAAAATGACCATTTTGTCTTCCTATTTTAAAAGGATAAAAGAAGTTGTACACAGAATTACTATATGATTGAGCAAACCTAGATGTGCATAGCTTTACAGCCAAAAGAATTAAATGCGGGGACTCAGATACACATCCATCCATGTTCATAGCAGCATTAGTCACAGAAGCTAAATGGTAGAAACAACCGATCTGTCTATCAAGAGATGTGTGGATAAGCAAAATACAGCATATGAGTATGATGACATTCACCCATAAAAAAAGAATGAAATTCTGCTACAACATGCCAAGTGAAGCAAGCCAGACACAAAAGCACAGTGTGACATGATTCCATTTCTATGAGGCACGTATGCAAATTCACAGAGACAGAAGGTAGAACAGAGGTTACCAGGAGCTGGGGACAGGGAGAATAAAGAGCAATTGTTTAATGAGTAAAGTATTTTACTCTGGAAAGGAACAATGTTCTGGAGATGGACAATGGTGATGGTGGCACTGTTAAGTACATGAATTTGCTAATGTACTGAATGCCATGGAACTGAATACTTAAAATGGGAAATTTATCACAATAAAAAAATGCAAAAAAAAAAACCAAAACAAACTGCACATGCATATATAAACATGAAAGAAAAAAAAGATTGTTTCCTCCCCCAAGTACACAACACTTACAAAGAGGCACAAGAAGGAAATGCCAAGGACCAGTCACATTCCTGAACCATAGCAAGTGGTCATTTTCTAGAACATAGCACTGTAAAAGGAAACTGCCTCACATTAACAACAGGGAAACTGGACAGCCAGTGATAAGGTTACTCAAACAAGCATTTTATGCATTGATTAGATCCATCCAATTTTGTTGACAAGGGATTTACATGGCTCTTTGCAACTGTTTTTTTGCCAGTGAAGGGATCTTTAAATTCAGGTGCATCTTTCTAACGATCACCTTGGGTTATGGCTCAGAAAGCAAGCACGGACAAGTGACTGCACATGGGAGAACTGCATCCAACAAAATCCCCCATTCCTACAAACACAGAGGATTGCACAGACCCTACCTCAGTATCAGACAGAACCTCAAATGGCTAGGAGGTCTGTCCCAGCACCCTCAGGCTCTCTGTTGATCTAAATCATGCCAAAAAAACCCACAAAAGACCCAGCCATTGGGCACAAGGACAGCACCTCGTCAGCACCTCTAGCCTGGCAGTGTGTTGTCTCAAGAGTACGGAAAACTCTGTATTCCAAGGGAATCCAGGCAGGGGAAATCCTGCAAGACCCTGCCTGGGACTCTTCTGAAAGTCAATGCTACTAAAAAACAAACTGGGAGACATATTCTATGTTAGAAGAGTCAAAAGAGATTAAAGAAAAAATGGAGTATGTGAACTGTAATGAGATCTTGGTTTGTAAAACAGGTAATTATAAAAGACAACCTTAGGACAACTTGAATGTAAACTAGGTATTGGATGGTATAAACTCATTCTCAATTTTCTTATGTGTGATAACAGTGTGGTGACATAAGAGAATATCCTATTCTTAGAAGAGGCTAACTGAGGTACTGAGGAGTGAACTGTCACCATGCCTGCAATGCATTTTCCAACAATTCTGCAATCACACAGACTCAGAACATATATAAATGCACATACAAAGGGCGAGAGAAAAGTGTTAAGTTAGAATGGTGACAACTGTCAATTCTGGGTGTATCAATATCAAGTTGTATAAGATCCCGCTGTGCCAGAAATCAGACCACACAGCTATGTAACTGGTCCCTTTTAAAAGTTAGTGTGCTTTGAAGCTTTGAGTTCAAACCCCAGTACCACCAAAAGGAAAACATTTAAAAAGGCCAGGTGTCGACCAGAATACCAAGTGCCTCTCAGCCATCATGTTCTGAGCAACACAGTGTCCTGCAGAAGCCTCAGTCATAAACAGGATGTCTCAGAGAGGAAGTGTCTGTCAGGGGTTAACAATGGCTCCCGCTCCATCTGGAAATCTGAGGCAGCTTTTGCCTAGCAGGAGAAATGAATCAGCACCCACATGGCCCAGTCCCTGACTGATGACCTGGGGTAAGACCAACTTCCACTACCCTGGGGGGCTCAGGCTCTGATTCTTCTTCTGAAAAATGGGAGAAGTGGCCCTTTGTAGACTCAGGGGTACTGCATGAAAATCACAAAGCCGCAAACTGATCACCCTTTCCTTCCCACATGAAAACAGAAGCACTTTTAAAGCCTCAGATTCACAAGGCAGAATAAGATGGGCATAAGTAAGTGTGGCAGAGGAGGCCTGGTATGGTATTTTTAAGTCCTCTTTTTTTGTTAGTTGGCAATACTAGGGTTTTAAACTCAAAGTGTTGCACTTGCTAGGCAGGAACTCCACCACCTAAGCCATGGTCTTAGCCCTTAAGCTTCTCTATGTTCTCAGTTCTGAGACCATTCTACCTGACACCACATCATAATATCCAACATCAGAGACCAAACCTCAGATCCCAAGACCAGCACTTACCTCTGCCATAGGCCCTGGCTTTCTTTGGGTTGAGTTTGGGTTTCAGAGGAGCACCTGGCTTGAGCTTAGCTTTGGGGAACTGGGAGAGGTATGTCATCACGGAGTGCTCATCCACATCAGGGTGAATAATTTCTTCAGGAGTGATGACCTAGAATACCAATGTGGTGGGTAAACACCTGGACACACCACTTTGAAACCACTCAGGTTTTTGCACATCTCTCTTAAACTAAGCACTACAAATAATAAGAAACTGAGTCAGCATTTCATTTAAATAACATTACATTACACTGAAACGCCAAGATTAACCTTGCAGAGGTGTTGCTATCCCCTATGGAAGCTGAGAGAACTTCTAGAGAAAATTCTGCATATGATTTCCAGAGATTCATGCTCCCTATTCCCAAAAAACTCCATTCACTCCCTGGCCAATCCTTCAGAAAGGATAAAGGAATAAGCTATAACAAGTCAGGAGAAGAGGAAACAAGTACACACAGGGTTAGAAAATGTTTCCGAAAAGGTACACAGATAAACAGCCACTTCTGCTGCTCTTTTACCCCGTGTCCACATCTCTATTAACTCTACTTGTAAAAATAAAATCAATAAGGAGCCAGGCAAGGTGGTGCCTTTTTTATAATCCCAGGACTTAGTAGGTAGAGGTAAAAGGATTACAAGTTTGAGGCCAGCATGGGCTGCATAGTGAGACCCCATCTCAAAAAACAAACAAGAATCAACAACACAGGCACATATTAAATACATGGTCTCAGCCAGGTGCCAGTGGTTCACACCTGTAATCCTAGCTACTCAGGAGATAGAGAGCAGGAGGATCATGGTTTGAAGCCAGCTCCAGGAAGTAGTTTGTGAGACCCTGTCTCAAAAAAGTCCATCACAAAAAAGGGCTGGTAGAGTACCTCAAGTGGCTAAGAGCAGCTACCTAGTGAGCATGAGGCCCTGAGTTCAAACCCCAGTGCCACCAAAAATAAAATAAAAATAAAAAACAAATGTGTGGTCTCAAAGCCATTAAAAAGAGATGAACATCTGCTGACATTCAGCTTAGGAGCAAGATTAGACCCTTGCTGGGCAGGGGACCTCCCTGAAGGCGTCAACAGCTGGGTTCCACCATCTGACCCAGCCCAAACAACATGCAAAGTCTTTCCTGCCCCCAATAATGGTGCCAGGCAGATGAACCACACCTCTTTGGGGAATAGAAGGCTCTGTCTCATAAGCCACATGAACACATTAATGGGATGAACAGATGCACCCCGTATCCCTCTCCTTGTGATAAAAAGCACTAAAAACCATCTTGATGATTAGCTTGCAAGAACAAGATAGGTGCTGGGGTTTGAACAGTTGCCTACAGTGCATTCCGTGAAAAGAAGATGTGTGCTGACCTGGCATTCCTCCCCAGTAGCTCCTTAACAACTTCACAGAACCAATATCACATGAACGTCAGAGGGAGATGGTTTTAGGTTTAATAGGAGGTGGAAAAACAAACCACACCACTTCCTCAGGTTGGAGAAGCCAAGAAATGGTTCACGTAGCACAGACATGATTCTAAAACCAAACCAAAGAAACAGGCATGCTTTCCTACCTTCCAAGGAATCCTGTTACAAAATACACTGAATTCAGCTCTGAATACCAACCTATTGTGATAGGATTGTTTAACCAGGACTTTACCATGGGATTCATGGTGCTGTTGGGGAAGTTTTTAGAAGAAAAAAAACACTAGTTTTCTCCCCTGTTAGAAAGACTGGACTGCAGGCTATTTTAGATGGTGACTAAAGCATATTCAGTTCCCAAGTCCTCTTGCTATTCCTGTGATAGAATTACAGACAATACAAATTCTTCCACAATTTCTACTAAAGGGTGAGATATCCTGGTTTGCTTTTTTTTTTAACCTTTAAAAAATAAAATTCTAGACTTGTGGAGTGGCTCAAGTGATAAAAGCGGCTGCCTAGCAAGCTAGGTCCTGAGTTCAAACCCCAGTGCCTAGTCAGGCACCAGTAGCTCATAACTGTAATCCTAGCTAGTTGGGAGGCTGAAATCAGGAGGATCATAGTTCAGGCAAATAGTTCATGAGAACCCGTCTCCAAAATAACCAGAGTAAAATGGATCGGAAGTGTGGCTCAAGCAGTAGCAGTAAAGCACCTGTTTGCAAGTAGGAAGTCCTGAGTTTAAATACTAGTCCCACAAAAAAAAAAAATCTAAGTCCTATGACTTTTTCTAAAATATCACCTTTCTTTTCTATAGGTTTTTAAAAATGGTCAAATACTAGCAATTTTTTTTTCAGCTCAACCCACATTTGCTGTTTTGGATTTTACTTGCTAGGCAGGAGCTCTACCACTTAAGCCACGTCTCTAGTCCTTGCTGTTTTGGATTTTAGAGACAGCCTTCAAAAACTATTTGGAGCACAAAGAATAGAAAATTTGCCAACATGTGACAAAGAAGAGTGACATGAAGATTTCTGGATGATCTACAAGCTCCTAAATCCCTGAGAACCTATTATTATGAGTAAACTGAGGTAGGTGGGAGAGCACCAAAGGCAATAAATGCTCTTTGAAGGCAGATACCAATAAGGTCAGACTGTTGTCTGACCCAGAAAGGAATCCAGACTGCCACAATGAGCCAGTGGGTAAGAGCAGTCTTCTAGGACAGGACATGCATGTTTATACCTGTGGGACACCCAGCCAGTCGTCGGCCTGCTGCATGGCTTCTCGTGCATTATCCACAGGCTTTCGTGGATCCCAGGACTCCCAGTCTGGGCAAAGACCTGTTAACATAGCACAAAAGATGCTTTTGGCATTAGTTGACTAAAGAGATGAAAAGAAGCCACGTGTGGAAAGCTAAGCCCATTTGTTCTCTGAACTCAGAGTATAATATCTTCTAAAAGCTCAGTGAGTTATATATTTTATGGACAAAAAGTATAAAAGACAGTAATGTATCAAGGAGGAAACTGTTCTACATGAGCAAAGACTTCTCCTTCAGGCTGCTATCTTCTTGCATTAAGACAGGGATTATTCATTGCTTGAAGGTCTACTATAACAAACAAACCTGGTGCCTTCTTCACAGGAGAGACTTTTTTTTTTTTTAACCTTATTCGTGGATTAAACTAGCATCCTGTATGACTCAAAAGTCCATTTGCTCAAAGGCATAATCCTAGAATTATTTTAAAAGCCTTTACAAGCACAGGTAGTAGAAGACTAGAATAAAAATCCTCAGATTTAAACTGGAAAGAAGTATACCAAGTTGTATCTTTAGATGGACATAAGGAAGCAGGTCCTGGGAAATGAACTAATGCTGTAATTTGAGTTATTCATAGATGACACCAATTTACAGGCTCTCAAGAAGAATGAGGCCTTGAAGACAGCTCTCCTTCTCTACCCAAGTGACACTAGCTAGTTCTTCTTTGAGTGTATTGAGAACCTTAATAAATATAATGTGCCTGGCACATATAGAGAACTCAGGAAATGGAAAATATGATTATTAGGGAGTTCTTTTTTAAAATTAAAAACAATTTGAGGGGGATATATAAATACTGGTTCTGGTTTTTCTATTAAGTGTGTCCCAGCAAACTCTACCCATCAGTCTAAACCCTCTAGTGAGGATAATTACAATCTTGGTATACACTGAAGCACTCAGAAAAGAGCCCATCAAGGGCAGAAAAAGCTCCAGCTGGATCCTGACCAACCAGTATTACACAGTCACACAGAAAGAAAAGGGCAAAGAAAGCCATATATAGTCAAACCAGTGGTTAATAAAAACAAGTACTTTCCACTCAATGGAAGGTTTTAGGTTTGCATGCCAAGCCACCTAAGAGGTCCACATGTTTCTGCTGAAGCCAACAGGAAACTAGGCACCAATGAGGGAAGACTTGAAACTTTGGAGTCTGCAAGCTAAACCCAAGGCCTGCTCCAAGTTCAAGTACTAGGGCCCTTCATCAGGGATTTAGATAAATGACTGGATTCACTGTTCAAACATGTTTATGGACATACTTAGAGGATCTGCCACTGGAAGGGTAAACAGAGCCATTTTTAGTTCTGTTATCTGTCTCTCTGACTGGGTTCAATCCAGAAGACACCCACCAATCATAGCAAAGCTAGCTTTCCCATTGAAAACCAGGAGGTTGGGGGCCTACATGCCGCCATCCCAAAGAGATGGTTTGGGCAGCCATGGGCACTTACTTACCTGGAGCACAGCTGTCTACCAGGGCTCCAAGGGCTTTGCCATCTTGCCAGTTCTGGTTAAAGTTGGTGATGGGCAAGTAGGGGATCTTGTTCTGAATCCATCCCAGCAGCCTCTGCTTTGGCGTCTGCTTCTTAGCATCGTCATCCCCTTCATCCTCCCACACGGGCATGGAGATGGAGTAGTGGAGGATCAGAGTCCACACTAAACCCAAGATGAGCTTCAGGTTCCCATCCACAATGGCTTTGCTATCTAGGGAGGCAGAACAGGCTTAGTCATTCTTCTGGGTCACACAAGTATGGGTCATGCTCTTTGTAAAAAAAAAAAAAATGAAACCATAGAGAACCATACTGAGATATTTAAGAGTGAAAGAATGCAATGCTGCTGGGTGCTGATGGCTCACACCTATAATCCTAGCTACTGAGGAGGCAGAGATCAGAAGGATCACAGTTCAAAGCCGGCCCTGGGCAAATAGTTTGAGAGACCCTACCTCAAAAAAACCCATCACTAAAAAGGGCTGATGGAATGGCTTAAAAGGTAACAGTGTCTGCCTAGCAAGCATAAGGCCCTAAGTTCAAACACCAGTGCCACCCCCATACAAAAAGAAAAAAAACACAATGCTAGGATTTGCATCAAAATCTTGAAATGAGAAAATATGAAATATAAGTGCAAGCGCTTGTTAACTAATGCCACTGGATCATGGGTACATGGAAATGCATTGTACTATTGTCTCTGTTTTTGTGTATGCTTAAAATGGTCTGTAATAAAAAGGGTTTTGAAAATTTAAAGAAATCATTTCAGAAATATTGACAATAAAAAGGAGAGGTTGGATGGGTGCCAGTGTCTCACACCTGTAATCCTAACTATTCAGGAGGCAGAGATCAGGAAGATCACGGTTCGAAGCCAGCCCAGACCAATAGTTCATGAGACCCTGTATCTCAAAAGAAGCTATCACAAAAAAGGGTGGCAGAGTGGCTCAAGGTGTAGGCCCTGAGTTCAAGCCCCAAAACTGCAAAAAAGAAAAAAGGGGGGAGGGAGGGGAAGTTGCATCACCAAGATAACCACCTGCTAACTTGGTGGTACATAGTGAGACATATGCATGTGTACACACACCAGTGTCTGTACGTACTGTCCTCAGTGTCCATTATTCTATGCAAGCAGCTTTCAAATATTTCTTTTCCCTAGTCATTACGTCCTGGCCATCTTTTCCTGGTAAGTTGTTTCTGTTTACACTCCTCCCTAGGTTTAGAAGGCTAGCTTCCCCTTTCTTCTCACCAGTGTTGGATGTTATCAATCTTTTTCATCTTTGCCACCCTGACAAGTTAGTCAGAAAAGACGCTATTAATAATTAAGCTAATGCAATTAGGCAAAGTCTCTGCTGCCTGGAGGGATGTGACCAGCCCAAGCCATGGCCTCGTTCTACTTCTACTCCTGTTTTTTTTTTTGTTTGTTTTTGTTTGGTTTGGTTTGTTAGTGGGCCGGGGGATTGAATTCAAGGCCTTGCACTTACAAAGCAGGTGCTCTGCTACTTGAGCCATGCCTCCAATCCATTTTGTTGTGGTTATTTTGGGAATGAGGTCTCCCAAACTATTTATTTCCAGGGCTGGCCTCAAATGGCAATCCTAATGATCTCAGCCTCCCACATAGCTAGGATTATAGGTGTGAGCCACCTGCATCTGGCCCTACCCCTGTTTAACAGAGCAATGATAACCCTAACCAGCCATTCCAGCTCTCTGTCTTCTTTCCAATTTCTGTCTGCACCCATCAAAATTCAAACATTATCTTTAGAATCATTGCCTCCTGCTCCCGCCTCACCAAACATCCTCTACAAATCCCTGTTATTCTACTGGGACCCTAAGGTAAAAACATTAGAACCATCCTGGACTCCTCTTTCAAGTCCCTGGTAGTTTCCACAGTGTGTCATCTCTTCCTACCTAAGTCTCTTGGTAAATCCCTCTCCACATCTTTCCAATAAGCACACAGCACCTTCTCCCCACTCCTGGAATCTTTGACAATCACAAAGCTGAGTTGTTCACCGAACCCAGCACCATCTTTCTAGGCAGGTACCACTGTGCTTCCAAACTCACCAATGGCCCCTGCTGCCCACAGTCAAACTGTCTTAACTCAGGACCTACCCCAGCTCCAGCCAGTCACCTTTACCTGTGTCACCCCACCCACACACTGTACCCCCTACCCAAGCTCAAGAATTGGTTCCTGGATGACAGCTTGCCCTGGTTCCTGAGGCCACTATGTGTTCTGTAGACCTTTGCCAAAAAGACTCTTTACCTCATCCTCCTGTGGGACACACCTTGGCTCTAGACCCCAAAGCCAGTGGTGCTATACTCCCATCAGTGTGCTAAGTGTGCCAGGCTCCTTTCCCTCAGCAACAGGAATGTCCATCTGATCCTCTGCCTCCCACCCCCATGCCAGAACCACAAGTGCCTGCTGAGGAACTGAAGCTTCTTCATCTTAGAGTCATCCCCAAACTAACCACGAGCCACCTGAATATGGTTTAACAGATACCAAATTGCACAGAATGAAACTCAACAACAACCACATGAAAACATTCATATGTGCTAAGGAGTGCATGGCGTACCACTCAAAACTAAAAGGCTGGGACTTTAAAAAAAAATTAACTTGGGGACTGGGGATATAGATCACTGGTACAGCACTCACCTAGCAGGTGCAAGGCCCCAGGTTCGATCTCCAACAATCTTACAAACAAAAGACCCTCTTCGAAAGCCCACACCCAAACCCACAGAAACCAGAAATAATTTTACAGTTGCAGATTTAGTCATAATCAAACCCAATTGGGGCTGGAGGTGTGGTTCAAGTGTGTGAGGCTCTGAGTTCAAACCCCATACTGCCAAAAAAAACCCAAAAAAATCCACCCAATCATCTATACTGGACAAAATAAAAGTTATCATGAACTGACCAATAACAAACTTAAGGAAGCCTCACTCCAAGTTAACTTATCTAGGATTTTTTTCCTATATGTTCAGTTGACAAATAAAAGCAGGAGTAACTCTATTGTTTGTGGGGCCCAGTAAGAAAGGGAAATGCAGACTCTGTCTAAACAGCTCTAAAAATTTAAAGACAGCAAGAGCAAAGCACTAAACCAAGTAGAGCATGTGACCATGAGGCCTGCCCAGCTTCTGAGATCCTGTAGTCAAGACAGCAGCAATGATCAATATAAAACCCTGGATCTTGTACAGAACTTGGACTTCTGAGCAATTCATCCCTTGGGACCAGATGTTTCTCCATCTGGCAGTCCTTGACTGTGACTAATTTTTTGGAGTAGATGTCCTGTTATGAGGTTGTCTTTGAAGTACTATTGAGTACCAACTTACTACCTAGTGGTCATCAGAAAGTCTAGAACAAACAAATTTCCATGCCAGTTTCCTTCACTCCAGCTAAAGGGAGAAGAGCAATCTTCAAAAAGGTGAGCACAAATGAAAAAGGACTAGGGTGGTGGCCTAGGCACACCAGAGTCATCGGTCTCTGCACCTGAAGGGATGTGAATGGAAGTCTTGTTCAGCCACAGACGTCAGTCTGCAAAACTCAAGCTTCCCTGAGTTATGTGTTAAATGCTTTTCAAAAGCAAGCCTGCAGGTTTAATGTATAATTCAAAACATGAATCCAGTTCACTCTATTTTTATCCAACTTACACATGTTGCTCTAAAGGAATGAGACAAGAGTCTTTTTCAAAAAGATTTTTGGGGAAATATAACCCAGTTAAAGTCTGAGCCAAATATATGAAATATACAATGCCCAGAACTTCTGTTTCCAATGAATTCAAGGTGGGTGTCCAAACGGGAAAGCCCCTATTATGGTCTCCCTGGGATAAATGATACCTTCATTCTGCTATCCTAAGAAACCAAAGGGAAAGCAGTCCTCATTCCAAGTGATTTTGACAGGTGAAGGTTCAAATGCTTAACCGAACTCTTGGAAAAACAAAAAAGATGGAGTCTCGCCCAAAAAGACTTCCCAGTTCCCATCACAGGAAATAGAAGTCTCCCCAGGCAGTGAAAGCAAAATGCTCAACGGCGTTGCAGTGTCGTCTGACCATCACCTTGGATTCCAGCATTCTCAGACCTGAGTGTGCGCTGCAGGTTTTATGCAGACTATAAACATGGAGCAGAACCATAAAAGAGGAAAACACCAGATCAGCCGGAAACCTCTCCATCTTAAAAGCTGCTTGAGGGCCTCAGTCAAGAATAAAACAAGCCAACACCCAGCTTGCCTGCCCAGCCTCCCAGAATCTGCTAGGATTTCGGTGGCCTGGAATCTGGCCCTGGGTTTCTCCTCCCTAAATCCAACCAATCACAATTCCCACATAACCGCTCTTGGCTCTGGATAACACTGACCCTCAAGCCACACACACATTCTCAAACTACTTGAAATTATCCAGTATTTCTTTTAAGTGAGAGCAGTGGCATTTTTTTTTTTAATAGCTAAAAAGTTAATTTGAGCTCCTGCAAATCTATGATGATTTTTTTTTTGTGAGGGGGAGCAGTGCTGGGGATTGAACCCAAGGATAAGATGGGATATTTTTATATCACTTCTGTGTATCCACTGTCCAGTCCTTGTTAAGAAGCACTTGTACCTAACGGGAGCACTTATGGGGTGGGAAGCATCTGTTTTTAGCACTCTTCAGAAAGATCCTGGAAATGTCTCCTTCATGGACCCATTCCCTGGACTCAGGGATAGGTCAGCCTTTCCCCAACCCCTCTCCATCAGGTGGGCCAAATCCACGCAACCATCTGTGTGCCTACTGCACCATTCAGCACATGCTTGGAGCCCCCACTGCGAGTCCAGCACCTCACCTGGCTGTCAATGATTAACCAGCGTGGCAGGGGTGGTAACTCATGGGAAGATACCATGTCACATTTTTGTTCTTCTCGATGAGGACAAGAGGTCATCCTCACCCAAAACAGCCATGTCAGGACAGCCAACAAGAAACTGCAAGAATGGAGAGGTGATAGAATGTGTGTCACCAAGGCCACACTCTGTACTATGACTTGGCTATTTGGGGAACTCTGGTCTCTCCCCACTCAGCAACATCACCTGCTGAAAGGCTCTGTGGCAGGGTGGTTTCAAGCACAGCTGCTGGAACCAGCAGCTGTCACTTTGGATGTTCCATTCCCCTCTCTGCGCCTTATTTTCCCTCATGTACCAAACAGGAATAACTAAAATCAACCATATCCTAGGATGGTGGTAAGAAGTAGGTAAAGAAAGCTAAGAAGTGCGCAC